GCTATTTTATGATTAGGGTATTAATATAAGCAATCATGCATATTAGTACCAAGGGCATAAATGCATTTACCAAACAAACTAAAATACCAGCAAAGGAGTTTAAATTAAAACACTCTTTTCACCCTGGATAGTCTCATAAAATACCACCACCTGGGAAACTTGATTCAAGTTCTAAATTGATTCTTATTTGGGAAGAGATGGGGGAAGGCCTTCTGCCTGTGTCACAGAAATTAGGGAGTGGTCTATTGAGGCAGGCATCAGAAACACAGATATGATCTTTAAGGTGAGCGCCGGGGGCAGCTTTTCGAAATCCCTGAAAACCTGATCCGCCTTGCCTGTCAGGTTTTCTCCCTCATGACCTTGTCATGGGTGGGATCTCGTGTGCCGGCTCCCGGCAACGAGTCTATCCTAAGTTTGAAGTATCTATCAAACAGATAAAACAATGAATCACCTATGATCTATTTTATTTCATGCACACCCCAGCCAAGGTTCTTTTGAGGCAAACCACAGACATCATCTGCATAAGTTTCTATGTATCTTCAAATATACTGATCTTCATTTTCAAATTTTTATTATGAAAATATTCAAACATACATAAAAGTTGACTTTTTTCCATGACAAATCATAATTACCACTACCTAAATTTTATAATAATATTTTATTCTATTTGTCACATAAATATCTATCCATCCTTCCATCTGTTTGGTTTTTTTTTGGATGCATTTCAGAGTGAGTTGTAGACATCAGTATACTTCACCACTAAACCCTTCTGTATGGATATCATTAATTAGAGATTAATATTTATTTAGTTTCTTTCTTGTTTTTTATTTAATTTTTAGATTTATTTGGCTGTACCGGGTCTTAGCTGCTTAGCTGTATGTAAAATCTTTAGTTGCGGCATAGAACTCTTAATTGCGGCCTGCAGAATTTAGTTTCCTAAACAAGGAATGAACCTAAGGTTCCCTGCATTGGGAACTCAGAGTCTTAACCACTGGACCATCAGGGAAGTCCCTATAGTTTTACCTTAAAATTAAAATTTACATCCAATGAAATGCACAAATCTTAAGTGTATCATTTGATAAATTTTGACAAATGCATACACCTGTGTAACCCAAACCCTATATCAAAATATAGAGCCATCAAACAGAAAGTTCCCTTTACCCCTTCCCAGTCAATTCTTATTCCCACTCCATCCCCAGAGGCAGTTGTTGTTCTTAGGTTTTCTTCCATCCTATATTAATACTGCATGTTTTAGAGCTTCAAATAAATACAGTGGTACAATGTGTGCTCTTTCCTGCAAGATGTCTTTCCCTCAGTATAATGTAATGTTTTTGAGATTCATTCATGTTGTTGAATATATCAGTAGTTTGCTCCTTTTTATTGCTAAGTAGCACTCTATTGCTTGAATGTAAGTTTATCCTGACCTGTCATTATGAAATGTCACTCTTTATCTCTAGCAGTATAATTTGTCTTGAAGTCCACATCATCTGATATTAATACAGCCCCTCTAGCTTTCCTCTGCTGTTAGCACGGTAGTTTTTTTTCTACTCATTTACTTTCACCAAAATGTATTTTTACAAGTAAAGTCTGCCTTATTCAGATTGACCCCTGAGTTCTTCCAACACAATTCTTAAACAGTTTCTTTCTACCTGATATGATAAGATATTCCAGGTTCATCTTGTACTTTTCCTGCCAGAGAATTGGAAATAGTCATTTCTCCAAGGAACTCTGCTTCCTTTAGTTGAAAAGAAGTGGCACTTAAAGGCTATCTTCTGGGTGCTAGGGGTATTCATTGCTTCAGAGTTGATCAATTTTGAGGACTTTTCAGTGAATATGACTTTCTGAGAAAGGTGTTAGCTCAGTGTAGACTCACTTTATTGCATGTGGATGTCCAGTTGTTTTAACACTGTTTAGAAAACACTATCCTTCCTCCATTGGATTGCCTTTACTCCTTTGTCAAAGATCAATTGACTATGTGGGTCTATTTTTGTGTTTTCTCTTCTGTTCCACTGATTTGTCTTTTATCAATACCATACTTAATTAGTGCAGCTTTATATGGTCTTGAAGACTTAATAAGTCTTCCTCATTCTCTCCCCTCCTTCTCCTCCTCCTCCTTCAATATTGTACTGGCTATGCTAGGTCTTTTGCCTCTTCATATAAACTTTAGAGTCAGTTTGTCAGTATTGACAAAGTAATCTGCTGGGATTTTGATTGGGATTGTATTGAATCTATAGATCAATATGGGAAGAACCAACACCTAACAAGACTGAGTCTTCCTTGAGACTTCTCTGACAGTCCAGTGGTTAAGAATCTGCACTTCCAATGCAGGGGATGTGGGTTCCATACCTGGTCAGGGAACTAAGATCCCACATGCCAAAAAAAAAAAAGAAAACCTCCCAAAACCCAAGATTGAGTCTTCCTATCCATGAACATGGAATATCTTTTCATTAAGTGTGATTATAAATTTTTATTGAATATATTTGACAAATAACATTGTGTACATTTAAGGTGTGTGTGGTATGTTTTGTTATGTTACTTTTGATATCTTTATATTTTGTACTATGATTGCTGTTGTAGTTATACTTACCATATTACATAATTATGGCACAATACTGTTGTCTACATTCATTATAGGGTACATCAAGATCACTATGGCTTATTTACTACTTATTGAAAGTTCATACCCTTAAACAACATCACTTTTTTATCCCTCCACCCCCATCCCCTGATAACTACCATTTTACTTTTTTTAGATCCCATAAATAAATGATATTATACAGTACTTGTCTTTCTCTGACTTATCTCACTTAGCATAATGTGCTTGCAGTCTATCCATGTTGTCACAAATGGCAAGATATCCTCCTTTCTTATGGCTGAATAATATTCCATTGTGTATACATACCACATCTTTTTTATCCCTTCAATCTCTGAAGGGCATTTAGGTTGCTTCCAATCTTGGTTACTGGGAACACTGCAGTAAACATGGGAATGCACTTCTCTCTTCAAAATACTGTTTTCACTTCCTTTGGGTATATACCCAGTAGTGGAACTGCTGAGTCACATGGCATATCTATTTTTAATTTTTTCAGGAGTCTCTCTATTGCTTTCCATAGTCACTGGACCAATTTACATTTCCATCAACAGTGTTTAAAGGTTCCTTTTTCACCCACATCCTCACCAACAACTGTTATCTTTTGTTTTCTTGATGCCATTCTAATGGGAGCATAACTCTTAAAATTTTAAGTGTGAATGGAGAGATCACTGGCTAAGGAAGAGGGGATCCCATTCAGATCTTATTAAAAAATTCCATTTTAATGAAGATGATGAGATGATGCAACAAACATACTTCCAGACATAACATATCCTTCCTCTTTCCAAGCAGTTAGGTCAAAACTTACGCACAAATGTCAGAGCCTCTTTCTAAAAATTACTTTCTCTTTTCTCCACAGATAATAGCTTAATCAAAATTTTTCAATGCCCAACCCCAGTTTCTCAAGCTTCACTTCAGCCTTATTCCTGCTGTCTTCTTTTAACTTTTATTTTTAATTGGAGGATAACTACAATATTGTGATAGTTTGTGACATACATCTCTGCTCAGTCTTCCTTATTCATACAGAATAAAGAACTCTCTCTGGAAGCAGATTCAAGATGGCACTCACCTTCTCCTGTCAGACCAAGTCATGCACTCATCTTCTCCTGCGAGACCATCAAAATTGCAACTAGCTGTTGAACAACCATCGACAGGAGGACACTGGAACCCAACAATGGCAAAGGACTAGGAATCCCCAGAAAATTTAACTTTGAAGGCCAGCAGGATTTGACTGCAGGACTTTCACAACTGTTAACTGGTTATACCCCAATACAAAATATTAATAAAAAGTTTTTTTAAAAAAATAAGTCTCTGAAAAACCATTCAAAGAGTTGAAGCCAATGTGAAATTCTCTTCTCAATCACTGCTTTCTCACTTTCTTATCTCTGTATTCAGGCCTAACTCTGCTTTCATCTTCTCCACATTCCACAGGAAAATAAGCTTCTGGAAAAAGGACCTAGTCTCAGTCTCAAGAATAATTTGCCAACACAAATGTGTAAGAAAGCAGTGATCTAATGTGGTTCAAATGACTAAGCCAACCTCTGGTGTCCACTTCTCAAACACTGAAAACACAAGGCTGGATTTGAACCCCCATTAAAGCTAAATTGATTTCCCAACTTAGGAATTTCAGGATGCTGTAGCTTGGTGTTTCAAGCTCGAGACTAGTCCCTCTCTACAACATAGCTAAGATTCACCCATTGCCTGTCTTTATTTCTAAACCCTTTATCTAGACCCTGGTAGTTTCATAGGGGCCTCTCCACTTCCATCCTCCCTCCACCCCAAAATGTTTTGGCCATTTTGTATCCTTTGCTACCTGAAAGCCTCCAATGGCTTTCCAGTGCTTCAAAGGAATCAGAGCTTCTAACAGCTGTTAGCAGAACAATTCCCCAGGGAAAGCTGCGCTGTTCTCAGCTGCTCCACATTCTGCTTCACATCACATTCTACATTCTGGGGGTAAAAAAACCTCTTTCCTAATTTTTGATGACTTATTCCCCTACCTCTAGGTTTTTGCCAAAGCTTTCCAACTGACATGGAACTCCCTTACCTCATCTGCCCAGGCCACCCAACGTAGCTCCTTCATCAAGTGCCACCACTTCCTCCGGCAAGATTCCACACCTGATCCAGTACCCTACTAACCTCTATCTCTGCACTTCATTCCCTCTTAGAGTACTGCTAAATTTTACAATGAACTGTCTTTTCTGCCTTGCTAGATAGTAAACTCCCTCCCCACAATCTATTTCTTATGTAACATGCATTCCCAAGTGCCTAGTATAGTGCTTTGCACTCAGTGAGCACCTGTTATGAACTTGTAAACTAACCAATCCCATATAGAATATATAATCCCAGATTCCATCAACAGTTTACTGGGAAGAGAGCAGGGAAAACATACACAATAACTTTGCTTCACAATTCATTTACTGAATTGGGGCAGGTGATTTAACAATAGATTGCGAGATAAGGCTGGGAGAGAAGAGTTCTTGCTTTCTTTCCCATGAGCCAGTTGTGTCATGGATGCTTGTAAATTTTCCAAAATAGCCATCTGTTGTTGGGCAAGCTGGGTCTGAAGCTGGAGATTGGCATACATACATTCTAGGAGTCCTAGGCATTCCTTGGGCTTGTGGTCAATACCTGAAGGAAGAGCCATGGAGGTGCAAAGGGGACAAAAGAGATTTTATAATTGTACTGAGATGGGAAAGGTTCTAATAAGAACACCCCTCTAACCTTTCTGGGTACAACTCAACCCAGATGCAACTATGCTCGACTGTCACCTTCTCTATGAAGCCTACCTGGCCAGCTTATTTGAAACCAATACACTGGAATTTATTACTCACTCCCTTGCTTCACTTTTCCCCTTAGTACTTAACGATTATTTGGCGTAACTTGTAACTACTTATTTAATTGTTGGCTAATTCCCCCTTCTAGAATGTAAACTCCAGGAAGGCATGGATTTTTGTCTGACTTGTTCACTAGTGTGTCCCCAGCATCTAGAAGGATACCTGTCATGTAAGTGTTCAACAGATATTTGATGAGTGAATGAAATGGTTTGAGATTGAGGCCTAACCTCCCTTTCAAGAGCTCAGGAGATGCCTGAGCCGCCTTCTCTCTTACCTAACACAGTATGGTCATCAGCACTGACTCGAAGTTCTTCCTGCATTCTAACTTCAACCAGTCTTGCTGCACCCATTTTTAATGTTTTTAACTACATTATACACATCCAGCTCTGCCAGTTAACCCTGGCAGTTATTTATACATTGTATATTCATTGGTCTTGACTTCTTTGTTAAACCCTGAGGTCCTCAAACTCAGGAGTTATGACTGTCTAGTGCTCTGTTTGGCTTCCCACAAGTATGCTAAACACGCACTGATTTCTCTGTGGGAGGATGAATAACTGAAATGCAAAGAAACTGAGCTAATAGTTACTACTCCCTTCCCTAGTCACTTTTTAACGATGCAATGAAAGTCTTATTTCAGTCCTGCCAGTCTAATAAAGGCATTAATAAGCAAAACAAACTAACAAATGAATTGGTAAAATCAGGAAGAAAATGAAACGAACAGAACTGAATAATCAACAAACTACCAGCGAAAAATCTAAAGGTGCCTGGACCCAGAGGTAGGCACCAAAATCAATAAAAGAAAGTTCCAGCCACCTTGTCCATAAAACTCTCCCCACTGCTGAGTCTGTTTAGGAAATCCACCCTGCCTCCTTCCTTACCTGACAGCAACTTCGTTGGCAGGATTTTCAGGAAAGTGACTGGTGAGGAACTTGCTTGAAGATTAATAAAGCTGGGGGAGGGTTTGGCTCGACAAAGAGGCACAGTATTACCCTCCTCTTTGGCTAGAACAAAATTAGAGGCAACTAAGTCAAGAGTTCATTCCGACAAGGGACAGCGTAATTAGAACCCTGCATCTGGTCTATGAATTTAAGTGCTGAGGCCCTGGCCTGAATGTCTCCAAGGAAAGTTAAATAAGACAAAAAAAGAAACCACAGTGAGACTAAGGGAAACCAAGTAGAGATGGGATAAGCTAAAAATCTAATTTGCTTACATTTTACAAGTTCTTATTGATCTGTGCTACATGCTGACTATACTGCGCTGAATGCTAGGGCATAACACATGACCTAAGACATGGTTTCCTAGGTGTTTAATACCTAGTTAGGGAGACAAATCAGACACTGGTGAAATGGTGATACAACAACACAGGACATAAACAGTGAATCTGACAGTCTCGGGTGAAAATAAGTCCTTTTATCTTTTAGTTATACTGAAATGTGATTAAATGTAAAAATGAGTGTTTCTGAAAGGGCGGGGGAGAGATAGCAACATGAGTACAACAGACAAAGAAGACTCCAAGCAGGTGGAGGATATTTACTGGACCTTGAAAATAGGAAGCTTCAGATAAATGGAAAAGATAATTCAAGTGGGAGAAAAAAAGATGGTATGAGCAAAGATAAGGATGCAAGAATATGGCTAGAATGATAAGAGAGCCCTAGGAAAGTGGCCAGAATTAGGGTGGGGAAAAGCAGGATGGGTCATGGAAGACCCTTTCCAATATAAATCTGAGACTCTCTCAGAAAATCATTGAGCCTTTTTAGGGTTAGAAAATATAATACAATTTTTAATCAATACATTAGGATTAAAATGGGTTGAACACGGAAGTTCTTAATGGGGAAAAATAGATTGCCTTTGGCAAAAATAGTTAAGTTAGAAGGAAAATTTGATTTGTAGAAAGAAAATGATGAGTGTTATGAGAGACATATGTTATTTCTGTCTACTGAGCCACCCTTCCTCTGAGAAGCTACTCGTTCCCCAGATTGTAGGTCATACATACATCAGGCCCCTCTCCCTATTCCAGACAGACAGATGGGCAGATAGCTGCAGGCACTGAATCCCCAGTTCCAGTCCCTGTGGTCCTCGTCACTCCTCTTCATTCTTATTCTCCAGCTACCTCATCAACCCTCCCAACTGCACAAGCATCTGAATTTCCTTTTTCACTCAAGGAAATCTGAGTTTCAGTAATGTCATATTAACATAAATCACATTTTGGACATATTGGATCTGAGATGAGACAAGACAGTCCAAACGCCTAAAAAACAGCCAAAGGGAGGGCACTGAGCTCAGGTGAAAGGTCAAACTTCCAGGCCAGACACAAAGAGGTGATGGAGGAGCTGCAGAAATACATTAGCTCTCCAAGGTCAAAATCTGGGAAAGAAACCTGGACCTTTGGGGAACTCCTCCTTCCCAAAGTTTGCAAGATGAAAAGGAAGTGGCAAAGTAGACAGAGGGCTTCTCTGGTGGTCCAGTGGTTAAGAATCCACCTGCCGAAGGAAGGGACATGGGTTGGATCCCTGGTCCAAGAGGATCCCACATTCCTCGAAGCTGCTAAGCCCGAGTGCCACAACTACTGAGCCCACACTCTAGAGCCCGGGAGCTGAAACTACTGAAGCCTGGGCACCCTAGAGTCTGTGCTCCGCAACAAGGGAAGCCACTGCAATGAGAAGCCCTTGCACTGCAACTAGAGAGCAGCCCCCACTCACCACAATTAAAGAAAGCCTGTGTGCAGCAAGGAAGACCCAGCACGGCCAACGTTAAGTAAGTAAAAATTTAAAATAAAAAAGTCAAAAGAAGAGAAATGGATGGAAAGGCAGAATATCTGGCTCCATGAAAGAATTAAAGGGATCAAGACAGTGGAAGTCCATAGTTCACTGTCAAAATAAGATCAAAGAACATAGAAAACTTGAATTTACTCATTCATACATATAACAGATAGCTTAGTGCTTCTGTGTATCAGCCACTGAAGATGCTACAGTGCATTAAACAGACATGGTTGCTATTCTCAGGAAATGACAGTATTACACTGTAGACAGTGCATTTTCTACTGAACTGTAAGGTTTGAAGAGTACATTACACACAATTTATATTAAAAGAACTATACTGATGGCTAGACAGTGTATAATAGAGGATGAAATTGGGGAGCAGCAAAAGGAAGAACAGACAAAATATAGAAAGTGATTTATATACACTATCTTATACATTTCTCATACTGATCCTATGAAGTAGGTAGCCTTATCTGCACTTTTTTGAGAAAATTTAAGTTAGGAAATTTGCTCAAGATTTTTCAATGAGGCAGTGCTGGAATTAAATCCAGGCCTATAGACTCCAAAGTCATGTTCTTTACCACTGCACAATATAATCTGTGAAAAGAACTAGTTCACTTATGTTCAAGTTAAGACAGTACAGACCTCTCAGATAATCTATCCCACCTACAGTTAAGTGAATAGGCTCTGGAGTCAGATGGTTTCAGGCACTTCCCTGGCCACTAGTGGGACTGTCCCACTCAGTTTGATTATCTGTTCACTCGAGCCAATAGTATGTCTTCTGTCCTAAGTATTAAGAGGAGACGAAAAGGAATAATAATATACTTTTCAACCTGTAATTACTGAGTATCTACTATTCAATAGATCCAGTTCTAGACACTAGGAATACAGGAACGTTCCAGTTAGTGGGAAATGCAGAATACAAATACTTTCCGACTAAGTAATAGGAAAAAATCATACATACAACTAGCTTCATTTACCCAAAAGCTGGGCAATTAAGAAGGTCTGGTTTTAAGGGAGAAGAAGCAGGGCGTCTGACACACACCTCTTCTGTTAGCAGGATGACTAGGAAGCTGCTCCATCTGAACACCCACAGGTATGGCGCCTGGGGAAAAAAAATCCATAGTATCTCATGACCGACAACCCATCTTACTGTTTTACTATTAACAATTTCTTAAGTTCTCCCCAGTAGAGCTCAGGCTGTTCCAATTTGGAGAAGAAAAAGTGTGAAGGAATGTACTGTCTTAGTTTATGGCCAAATAGAAGTAACTGTTCTTGAATTGTTTTTGGTCTCACTGCCCTTCCTTTAGTTTGGAAAACAGCTATTTTTTTCTGGACAAAACAGTACTTTAACCACGCCTAAACCTTTAGTCTCCTATGAATGGGCAAATATTCTGTGTTCTCTCGTTTTAATTTCTGTAACATCAGTCCTTTTCCTATTCTGTAGGGTTATTTTAAAGCTCTTGCTCCCCAGCATCTCTAATGAACCTGCAGCTGAGGCGATGAGGAGGGCACGGGAGGGAATTGGCGTAGAGAAAGAAAATCTTGAGAGCACTATAGGGAACACTTGAAAAAGTGTTTTGGATAGGACAACTCGGGGAAAATGTAAACCATCACCTCCTGGTACCGCTGACAGCCTCAGAATAAAGCATTTGCCTAAGAAGGGGAAAGTCCGCGCACAGCAACGAGTCAGAGACAATAAACCACAATTCCCAGCGTGCCTGGAAGGGTAGTCACCACTCAGCCCAGTCGGATTAGACTACAACTCCCATTTCACCCGGCATCAAACCAGCCAGGTCGTCTCTCAACCGCCGGTTTAAGTCCCGCCCCTCTATCCCTCGCCGTTGCTAAGGCTGGAACGAAAGCGTGGAAACTGCCACGCCTTTCTTGACCTTCGCGGCCCGAGAGAAGCCTAGACGCCAGAGTTTAATGACCTCACCTGTGGTGTTAGTCGAAAGCCTCAACCCCAGCACCCACCCTCGTAGTTGATACACATGCGCAGTGGCGTGCCGGCCAACTGCCGGAGCCTCGGCGCTTGCGCTGAGGTTCGCGCCGCACGCGGCCGGGAGCGGCCACCCTACTGCGCAAGCGCCTGTGCCCTCGCATTGCTATCATCGTGCTTTCTCTATCTAACTTGCCCTGCGTTCTTACGCAAGGGGTGGGGCTAAGAATGTCAATTGGTGTGTTTTCGTGCCGGTCAGTGAGAAGCATGCGGTGATTGGTGATGACTCAGAGTAGCGGGTTTAGGTGTGAGCTCTGAGGAGGCAGCGTTTTCTGGGCTTCTCTCTGGTTCTCTCTCTCCAGAAGGTTCTGCCGGTTCCCCCAGCTTTGGGTACCCGGCTCTGCATCGCGCCGCCATGATGGGTCATCGTCCGGTGCTCGTCCTTAGTGAGTTGGGGGAAGGTTGGGAAGGGACTCCTCTCGCCGCCCCCCTCTTTCTGCGCTTTACAGCCTTGCCCCCGTCCAGTCGCGCCCTGGTTCGGCCACGGAGCCTTGCAGTCGCTCATTTTGGAAGCCCCTTCTCCCGTTTCCCTCTTTTCTTAACCCATTCCCCTGTCTTCGCAAACGCAAATTGACTTTATCCTCGCCGAACGCCTTGTCTTTCCGTGCAGTGACCTCGGAAAGATGCTTCTCACTCGGCGTTCCGTTCTTCACTCCCAACCCTCGGCCCTGCACGCTTCCGTGAGCGATTTTCAGCGTGTAGCTGAATGAATAAAGGTTTTTTAATTTGGCCTAGCTTTATAACCTTGGTCTATCCTTTAATAGTGGTGTTGCCTCGGCCAAATAAAGATCGAAATAGTTCCATCTTTATTATTAGGGTTAACAGTATTTCCTCGTAGAATTGTGAGGCTTAAATGAAATAAGTAGGTACAGTTGTTTAAAAGAGGGTCTGGCAAACAGCGAGTGGTAAAAGAGGGTCTGGCAAACAGCGAGTGGTATCCTTGGCCACTTTTTTTTTTTTTTAATAACTGTTGTCTTGAATTTACATTTGTCAACCCCTGTTCCTGATGTAACCCTGCTTCTCTCACTGATCATATTATGTTAGATGTAATTATCCTCGCAAATGTCTCCTCCGTTGTAATCTTCCCCACTTAGACTGAGTATTCCCAGATTCTTAATCGGTTCTTTTTACCTTCGGGAACATCCAGATTTTTTATTAACTCATGAGTCCCATTTCACTTGTCTTCCCCGGTATGTTTCTACTCTGTGTAACTTCTGTGCCTCATCCTGCATGATCACTTGACATGCTTGACTAGCCATTTTGCCTTTCTCACCATCTTCTGTGTAAAGAATGCTGTTCCGAGATTTTGTCTAATTTCTCTGCACCTGGAAAATAATTACTTTAAGACAAGCATTCGCTTAACCCGGAAAAAAAAAGCCCTATTTTTTCTGATGAATCCATCAGAAAGATCCATGCAGGATTTTAGTTAACACTACGTGAAATAGGGATCTGAATCCAGAGAGTTTTGTTTAGATTTGATGGGACCGGATCGAAAATTTTACAACAAATTGTAGGGAAAATATAATTTGGAGAGAGGAGTGAGAAAAACATTACATTGGTTCAGTTATAGCCATTGGCTTGTCTCTGGTTGAAAGGGCCCTAGGGTGAGTTAGTGGTGCATTGTGCAACCTTTCTGAGGTCACTGTTAATCCTTGGTGTTAGCGGCTGTAACCGATTATGCTCCCTATTAAAGTATGTAGTACACTCTTATTGATGGTAAGTGGGTAACTGAGGCATTCTGATTATATCCAAGCATGAAGTGACCTATCTTGCAAACCCTGATACTTTGAGTGTGTGTTCTCATTCCACAGCACACTGGGGGTCACTGTCAATAATTTACGCTGGGACTGTGGGTATCCTAGTATTAGAATGTAAACCCCCAAACTCTTTCCCTTGTTATATAAAGGAGAGATTGATGCTTTTTTAGTTTGTTGAGGTATAATTGATATTTAAAGAGTACAAGTCGATAAACTTTAATCAGTGTATACATCCATGAAACCTGGGTGTGTGTTTATTTTCAAAGATTAGGGAGTAGCTTATATACAGTGGATCAATACTGGTCTGTTGCCCCTTTTTTTTTTTTTTTAATTTTTATTAAAGGATAATTGCTTTACAGAATTTTGTTGTTTTCTGTTGAACCTCAACATGAATCAACCATAGGTATACATATATCCCCTCCCTTTTGAATCTCCCTCCCATGCCTTTTGTTTTTATCTGTTTTAGGCCAGAACACAAAGCGTGAATCTGGAAGAAAAGTTCAATCTGGAAACATCAATGCTGCCAAGGTAGCATATTTTTTAAGTTGTTTATAGTAGTTTGCCTGTATTTGTATTTCTGTGTTTGTGAGTTGATGGAAGAAAATTTGATTTCCTTTCCTTCAGGACATTTCCCTTTTGGTGATAAGGAGAAGGAAGCCTTCCCTCTCTGAGATGGGTCTAATGGTCTTCTTATATTGTGCATATTATATTGCATGTTTGTGTTTGTCTCCCATACTAGACTGAGTTACTTGGGTAAAAGAGCTATGTTGATTCCCTTTTGTATTCCTGGTACTCACTGTAGATCCTGGATAGGTATATTCAGTAAATAGGTTTTGAATGAAAGAATAAAATAGCCCTGATACAATTTAACATGGGGTGGAAGCCACTATCATTGAAGGAAATACAAATGTGTGGACTTTCAGTTATCTATGGACTACTGGGAAACTGAAGCTGTGAGAGCTATGTCCCTTTTTTTTCCTTGTGAAAAGTTAATCCTTTGCACATCCAGAAAACATTCCCAAAGGGGGAAAGACAACAGAATCTAGCCATATGACACCCTATATTGAAAGTAGTTGCCAACCCTGTTTTGGACATGTCCTTGTTAAAACACTGGCTCTGTGGGTTGCCCATGCCCCTTCCCCTGAAACACACAATCACCATCCTCTGGTTTGTGCTTAACATGTTTTGTATTTTCTTTCCAATAGACTATCGCAGATATCATCCGAACATGTTTGGGACCCAAGTCTATGATGAAGGTAGGCTTATCTCATATTGAAACTTCAGCTACACATTTTCCCTTTCTGTTTTCTGGGACACTTAAATATAATTTTTGCTTTGGTCCTAGATGCTTTTGGACCCCATGGGAGGCATTGTGATGACCAATGATGGCAATGCCATTCTTCGAGAGGTACGACTTTTCATTTTGTTTTCTAATGTTTTACAAAAGACACATAAAGAAATAATGTAAATAATGGTTAGTTTCTTTGGGCTGCTTACAAGTTACCACAGACTGTGTGACTTGAAACAACAGAAATTTATTCTCATGAACTGGAGGCTGGGGGTCCAGAGTCAATGTGTCAGTGACACACTCCCTCTGAAGCCTCTAGGGAAGTACCCTTCCTCTTCTAGCTTCAGAATCTTGACCACATTCCTTGGCTTATAAACTTTCCTTCTGTCATATGGCATTCTCTTGTGTGTTTCCACCATCCCAGTGGTTGGATTTAGAGCCTACCCTGATTTGTCCTATAACCTCATCTTAACTTAATTTCATCTGCAAAGGCCATATTTCCAAATATGATTGCATTCACAGTTTCCAGGGGGTGAGGTATCAGCATGTCTTTTCAGAGGCCACAATTCAACCACCACAATGGTGCTCCCAATAAATTAGCTGAAAGATACTGTTCTGTTCTCAAGAAACTTTAATAGTTAAGTTGTCCTAATGCATTCCTCCTCCTTCCCCCTTCCCCACTGCAAAAAACTACTTGAAAAAGTGGTTTACTTAGACATCTTGGTGGCCAGTTTTAATCTTTAAATCTGTGATCAGACAATAAAAGGGAGTAAGTGTGGAAGCAAGAATCTTTAAGAGTTAAGACCAAGCAGAATGGGTTAAGAGGTATTTGAGTAGTGTTGATTCAGTGAAGTCTACATTTTTCTTTTTCTAATTATTTATGGCTTTGCTGGGTCTTCATTGTTGCGCACGGGCTTTCTCTAGTTGCGGTGAGCAGGAGCTACTCTTCATTGCAGTGTGAGGGCATCTCATTGCCGTGGCTTCTCTTGTTCCCAACTACAAGCTCTAGGGTCCTCGGGTCAGTGGTTGTGGTACACGGGCTTAGTTGCCCTGCAGCATGTGGGATCTTCACGGACCAGGGATCAAACCCGTGTCCCCTGCGTGGGCGGGTGGATTCTTCACCACCAGGGACCACCAGGGTAGCCCTGTACTGTTCTTTTCAGATTCAAGTCCAGCATCCAGCGGCTAAGTCCATGATTGAAATTAGCCGGACACAGGATGAAGAGGTTGGAGATGGGACCACATCAGTAATTATTCTTGGTAAGAAGAGAATGGAAGGTTGATAAGGAAAATTAGATTGAAACATTAGATTTTTGCCAGAGATAATGTCAGTCTTTTTTATAAATTTTTGCCACACTGCTCAGTATGTGGGATCTTAGTTCCCTGACCAGGGATCAAACCAGCACTCCCTGCAGTGGAAGTACAGAGTCTTAACCAGTGTACTGCCAGGGAAGTCCCCTGAGTCATATTTTAAGAACATTTTTACTAATTCATTAATTATAACTATTTAAAGAATTTGTTGCTAATTTTCTATGTATTCTGTCCCAAATGAGCATAAAATGTTCATCATGGTAAAGAATAAGTTTTTCAAATGTGTTAGAGTTAAAATACAGTCTATTGTCATTACAGTAAATTATTTTTTATAAAGTCACCACAAACACCAAATTAGTGACTAATATATAATTAGTGACTCCAGGAGGTAGTACAGGGTTAGAGGTCTTTGAGCCTCTGGTCACATATGTTTTGTTTTAAAGATACCTTATTTAATGTATGTTGTTGACTCATTAACATTGAACTCGTGCCCAATATCACTATAACTCATGCCTGAACTAAGCTTATCTAATAAGTTCGTTGTCTTTACAAGGCACATCAGAGCCTTCTTGTACATGGGAAAACTTAAGGGCTTTCAGCAGTGAAATCACCAAGAAAATGCACAAATTTGAGGAAAACTTGCCACCAAATATACCACATAAAGGACACTTTCTTACAAAATGAGAGCTGAAACAAGGCAGAGCGTTCAGTCTTGCCTGGGAATTGTATGCATTGGGTGATTTAAATTTTTCTTCTCTGCATGTCTGTGAATGACCATTTAAGTGCAGTAAATACTGATTTTGAGATTACAGATTTTAGTGAGTAGTAAAATAGACAAATACAGAATCTTAAGACTGAGTCTTAGCTATACATGTTTTAATGGCTAATCTTTCTGCTTCCTGTGGGATCATAAAACATCCTTTTGAAAACTTAGTGTGTTGCCTTTGTTTTATAAATTTTAGGTTGATTGTGAAATTTTTATAATAGCATTCATTTTGATAATACCTGTAGCAACGTGAGAATTCCCTGATGGTAATCTTACTGGCTTAGTAATAGAGAATCCGCCTGTCAACGCAGGAGGCTCTGGTTTGATCCCTGGGTTGGGAAGATCCCCTGGAGAAGGACATGGCAACTGACTCTAGTATTCTTGCATGGGAAATCCCATTGACAGTGAAGCCTGATGGACCATAGTCCATTGTGTTGAAAAAGTTGAATACCAACAACAACAATCTTAGTTGAATCTCCTGGCAATACTAAATAGGTTAAATATCCATAGGTCTAGGTATCTTAGACATAGCTATTTAAAAAAAAACCAAAATATTGTTATTTCAGAAGATAACTTCTATGATACTGTTCTGGCTGCTGTTTAACGGGGCATAGTCTTTTCTAAGTTATTAGAGCATCTTTTAAAATATTTGATTATCTTTTAATATACTTAAGTCACTTATGAATTCTAAAGTATCGAAATCAAACATCTGAGCACATGCCAGAGAGTAGATATGTGAACTTTGACGCATTTGTGTACATTTTAAGAATTAGTGCCAGTGGACCTGATAGTGTAAGCATTTTGTAAAAGGCCCTTTTTTGAACAAAATAATGGTGTTTTAGAAGCAGACTTTTATATGTCGGTGTGTGTTTGTATTACTCTGTGTTTGTGTGTGTTTTAATTAGAATTAAAAAGTAAGGACAGTTTTTAAAAGAAAGGGGCATTTTACCAGTAATTCCTCTTCCAAAGGGTAAGTTTTTATGGGTATTCTCTGGGTATAAAGTTTTGTGGGGGGGATTATTTTCAGTACCTACAGTTTGACTACATCTTAGGTATTGAAATAATAATAAATCAATTTTCCTTTATGTATTTTTCTTTTTAGAATCTTTGGAAAAATGTTAACTGTTTGTTTAAGAAACTGATGACATATTTAGTTAGATCACAGAATTAAATAAACCCTAGGATCAATCTTTAGTCATGTAAAATGTATCTGATGAGAATACTTTGTTTCAGAGTTGGCTTGTACAGAGTACAAAATATGAAATAGTGTTGGCATACCTTTTGGGCAGACCTGCTTTAGAAAAAAAGAGCAGGTACTTTAGAAGCTTTAATGACGTTGTCTTGATACCCAGACACTTTTTAAGATGTTACAGTGTATCTGTCTTTCTCAGCTGGGGAGATGCTGGCTGTGGCCGAGCACTTCCTGGAGCAGCAGATGCACCCGACAGTGGTGATCAGTGCTTACCGCCGGGCACTGGACGACATGATCGGCACCCTTAAGAAGATAAGGTATTGCGGGTGGGGGCCACAGGCGGGTGGTGCCAACCAGGGAAGGCCTGGAAGACTGGTCTGTTCTTAGGTGGTAAAGGAAGGCTGGGCACAGCACCAGTAGTTCATATTATTTTGCAGGGAGAAAGAAGGGAGCAAAATGGAGGGAAGGATAAAGGGAATAAAAGTTTTTAGAAAATGGCAAAGGATCCAAAGCAGACAAATAAAAGGAGCTAGGTTCAGTTCTTCAAAATATGTTTTGGTTACATGCAATCTGCTAGTTTCCATGTTAGACACTGCCTTGGGGAATGTATAGTAAGTGAAATAGAGCTTCACTCCAAAGTTTTAGATTCTAGTAGGAGAAACAAGAAGTTAGATAACTGTGATTATTGAGGACTTAATATTAAAATATCCTACCATCATGTATGATTATAACTAACCCAGTCAGTACTCTCTGTAACACAAAGTGTTGTATAGGATAATAGTCCACTGTATTCATTAAAATGAAAAGGATGGTACTGAAAATGCTGTTTGAATCCAGTCTAGTTATCACAGAACTTGGTGTTAGTCTGTGTTTTCTGAGTGCTATAAGGTATAATAAAAAGAATATAAAAATGTGTGACTTCTGCTTAAGGGAATGTCAGTTAAATGAGATGATACAAAATGCAAAACTTTTTTTTTTTTTTATTAAAACAGTTGTTTAAAAACTAAAACCTATAAACTACTCATATTCTTGGGTTGTTGGATACACAAGTACCCAGCAATGTGGAGAGCTTTGTATTGTACTGCCTGCTTAAGAAACAAAGTATTTGATAACTAGCACTCTTAGAGAATGAGGTGTTTGATTGAAGATAATTTTATGAAGTAAGCTTTGTAAGAACATAGAGATAAAAAGGATTTATTGAATGTTTGGAGCTGAATCATTAACATTTTTCTTTTTATCAAGCAGTAACTTCTTACGTCTTAGATAATACTTTTGGAGCTATTGCTTTTTTTCTCTAAAATACATGATTCAACAACTATTTAATGTTTGCTTATTGTGTGTCTTACACTGTTAATAAAAGGGATTTCAGCAGTATGTGAAAATTTGGACAAAATAGTAGCCAAGGTCTTCTACAACTTTCAGGATTTTTTAGTTAAGGGATGAAGTTTCAAAGATAAAATATGTCTTAACTCAAGTTAAAGTTATATAGAGTGTATATGGTTGGAGCAGAAAGTAGAGAGAATATCGTACTGTAAACTCTTAACTGTGGAGAGTTGTCAGAGAAGGGAGCAGATTATTCAGGGATTTGAGACACCTTCCAGGGATGGGTTAATTATAAGCTTGCTAAAAAAGCAGAAGATGGACAAGGTTACTTCTTGATAACACTTTAGTTCCCTATGTAGGAACAGATGTCCCCTTCTTCTGCCTGTTGGCCCACTGTTATTAGCCATCAAAATGTAAATGAGGGATTTCTTAAATATCCAAGATCCCCCAAGCATATTACCCGTTTTTCTTTTCTCCAGTATCCCTGTTGACACCAGTAACCGAGATACGATGCTGAACATCATTAACAGCTCCATTACTACCAAAGTAATCAGTCGGTGGTCGTCTTTGGCTTGCAACATTGCCCTGGATGCTGTCAAAACTGTACAGTTTGAGGAGAATGGCCGGAAAGAGATTGACATCAAGAAATATGCAAGGGTAGAAAAGGTAAACTCTTCAAGTGTGTACTTTGGAAACACATTATTTCCTAGCATCATACTTGTGGAGGAAGTAAGTTTAAATCAGAGCAAGATACCTTTGTTATTAGAACCAGGAAGAAGAGTATTTGGTACCTGGAAAACAAAAATCTTGAAAAAGAGGGTACTAAGGAGGTATTTGAAATAACTCTGTTAGCTTCACTGCTCTCTCTACCCATGGTTTACAGGGGCAAGGGAAAGGCTTTTTATTTTATTTTATTTATTTTTTGGCATCTGTATTTGTGTGCATATCAGACACTAGGTCAGGAAATAAGGGCTCTACATCGTAGTACTAATAAGCCCTAGAAAGCTTTCTCCATCCCATAAGATTTAAAAGTAGCATTAATAACTTGTGACCAGAAGAGGGAGCCCTATACCTAAAATTCATGGAAATCTCTTTCAGGAGGTAGAAATATGTGCCCCTTTAAATCATTGTCAATCACTGAACTTCTGTTTCAGCCAACCTTCAAATTGTGTGTCATGGTCTAAGATTGATGTGCTTCCTAGAGCGAAAGGTGATTGCAACTGTAGTTGTTTTTGGGGTTTGTGGAAAAAAGATACTTTAGATACTGAATAGATACTTTAGATACTTTAGATACTGAAATACAGATACTTTAGAAATCTGAAATGGTGGTTATTTGGGAAAGATGAATGTCTGAAAAGGAAGTTGAAAAGTTGTTTCCTGGTTGTGGATTAAAGTAATTCTTTTGCTCAGATACCTGGGGGCATCATTGAAGACTCGTGTGTTTTACGTGGAGTCATGATTAACAAGGATGTGACCCACCCACGAATGCGACGCTATATCAAGAACCCTCGCATTGTGTTGCTGGATTCTTCTCTGGAATATAAGAAAGGAGAGAGCCAGGTAAGGGCACTGCCCTGTTCCGTAAAGTTGGTGCAAGAGTCTGTTACCCTACCAGGGAAATAAGTGCTTATTACACGCCTGCTGTGTGACCTGTGCATGCGATCTCTGATGCTTACAACAGCCCTTAAGAGCAAATGATGCCGACTTCCATTTTACACATGAGAGATCTGTAGCTCAGGAAAGTTAGGTTAATTGCTTCAGGAACATAGCTTGTCTTGGCCAAATCAGGATTTGAACCCAGCTCTGTTTGGCTTCAATTCCAGAGTATCATGCAACCTTTTCTAATGCATTAGTAGAACATGGAGTAGGAGTTAATTTGAGCTTTGAAGTGCTAAAAAATTTCCAGAGGACAGGAAACTCACAAGGCTCCATCACACTTGAATAAAGTAACTGAAGCTTATCAAACAGTGATTGGGAACAAGAATCATTATTAGTTGGGAAAATTAAGACCCTGAGTTACCCTGCATTCTGACAAGTCAGAAGAAACACTGAACTAAGTGGCTATAGACCTTAGCCAAACTCTCCACTAATTGCATTGTGACTTTTCCTTCCAGTAAATAACTAAATGGAGTTAAATTAGATGTAGATGATTGCTGGAGCTAAACTGGTGTACAGAGGTGTTGGATCATGGTTTGTTCTAGCTCTTGCTTTCTGGGATACATGAGAGGGCTAGACAGAGGTGGGGTGGGTGTGTGTCACCTCCTCAGTCGTGTGCGACTCTGTGACCCTGTGGACTGTAGCCCGTTAGGTTCCTCTGTTCATGGGATTCTCCATGCGAGAATACTGGAGTATGTTGCCATTTCCTTCTGTACCAGAGGGAGTGTAGTAGTAGCTAAAGAGCTTCACCAGTTCAGAATTTTTTAATTCATGGTGACTTTTCTTCACCACATAGACTGACATTGAGATCACACGAGAGGAAGACTTCACCCGAATTCTCCAAATGGAAGAAGAGTACATTCAGCAGCTTTGTGAGGACATTATCCAGCTGAAGCCAGATGTGGTCATCACAGAGAAGGGCATCTCCGGTAGGACTCCGTTCATTTTTCCAGACTGCTGTTGTGGTTGAAGAGGATGGGTAATTTTTTTCATCCCATGTTGTCATATACTGAACATAATTTACAGATGATGGTTAGGGTACATGGAAGATAAAAGCAGTTCAGAACCTGGAGTTTCTGGCTTCCAACTTGACATCTCTGTTTCTACAGATTTAGCTCAGCACTACCTCATGCGAGCAAATATCACAGCCATCCGCAGAGTCCGGAAGACAGATAATAATCGCATTGCTAGGTGAGTAGGTCAGGTAAAAAAAAATTGTGCTCCTTCCCATGTGTTTTTATTTCATAGCTTCATAATGTAGTCATCATTATCTGATAAAGCTTAACAGGATACAATCAGCCAAATCATTTACAGGTGGAAATAACCTGGGATTAGCCATCTGCCCTCTCAGAGGTCCTCTAGAGTAACAATTATCTTCTGCATGAGACTCTCTTGCTCCTAGCCAGTAGTGAACAGCTTACGCTTAGACATCTGTGATCACCACCTTGGTGTAGGGGTCCATTTCAGAATAGTCAGTTTTAACTAGCTCAGAATATGATAGAACCAATAATTAACTTGGTTGGATCCTCAGTTACTGTTAATGCAATCTTAGATTGCATTCACTACTTCAGCATGGATATCTAGGCTTAGGTCCATCTTTTTTTTTTTTAGAATTGATTTTTTTTTTACGTTAAGTCTGTCCTATCATCACATAATACGCCATAGATCCAAATGCGATTTTATACTTAAAACGCTTGCTCTGAAATGGCTCGGGGCATGCATGCATATATATAGTTGACTCTCATGCCTATGAGTGGAGGGAAAGAATGACAGATAAAAAATTAGCCCTACATTCATTAAAATGGGGTCAGATATACTTACCTTCCTTCTTGCTTGACCTTTGTTTTGTTTTTAGTATAGTCCCGTGATTGGCCTTGAGATCTAACTGGGCAATATAGGACAAGTTCAACATAGAAATGACCATTATGTCAAATATGCATAAGAACTCATTTGTCCAAATTTTAGGGTCTACTGAATATACTTTGAGTTAAACAGTATCTTGTTGTAGTAATTATCTTAGGTATGTACACTTATAAAACTATATTAGTTTAAGGAAACTTCACCTCTATATTTGGAAATCTGTTTTATCAGACAGCCAAGACCTCTCAAGTTAGGTAGAAATGTTGCTAGCAATCCACTTTTGCCCTTCCTTTATCACCCACCACAGACTCTAGGGACCAGGAAGATGAGTAAAAGTATCTGACATCATCTGGTCTTCTCCCTGTCCCCCTCCTCCCCATCTAATCATTAGAGCCTGTGGGGCCCGAATAGTCAGCCGGCCAGAGGAACTGAGAGAAGAGGATGTTGGAACAGGGGCAGGCCTGTTGGAAATCAAGAAAATTGGAGATGAGTACTTTACATTCATCACTGAATGCAAAGACCCCAAGGCCTGCACAATTCTTCTCCGTGGGGCCAGCAAAGAGATTCTCTCGGTGAGTCAGCCTTAGAAGTGTGACTTGAATTGAAGGAGGTCATTCCATTTCTTGAGAGTTTCCCAGAGGGCCTAAAATTTTCCTGTTGGCCATTTATAGTTACTCATTTGTCATCTGCAGCTGCAAAAGTTTTTATTTTAAATTGTGGTTAAAAATTTTAAAAATGTAACATTTATTGTCTTAACCATTTTTAAGTGTACAGTTAGTTCAGTGTTAAGTGTATTCATATTCTTATGCAGCAGATCTTTAGAACTTTTATTTTGAAAAAGTGAGGCACTATACCCATTAAACTCATTGTTTCCCTCTCCCCTAGCAACCATTTTTTTCTTATTTAAATTGAAATTAATAAATATTACCTTTTTTTTCTTAATGAAGTTAAATAACTTTCCTAAGGCACATAGCTAGTAAGTACAGAGCTTCCACTACACTGTGCAGCCTCCTAGGGTGTACAGCTAGACGGGCCAGAGTAGGGCATAGGTCTGTCAGGCACAGCGGGCGAGAGCCTAGTATCCCAGAGTGACACCTCCTCCCCCTGGCCTTCTTGGAATTGTAGTTAATGTGTTTTTCCAAAGTTATAGCATCTGCCCTTTGCAAAAGTTTTGAAGGACCTTTCTTAGTCTGGCCTCTTTGGTGATTTACCAAACTTGGCAGTCAGGAAGTCTTTTGGTGCTGCTGGTTTGTCCCTAAGTCATCGAGCTTTGGCTTTATACTATTCGTTTGCTTTCCCAAGGAAGTAGAACGCAACCTCCAGGATGCCATGCAAGTGTGCCGCAATGTTCTTCTGGACCCTCAGCTGGTGCCAGGGGGTGGGGCTTCTGAGATGGCTGTGGCTCATGCCTTGACAGAAAAATCCAAAGCCATGACTGGTGTGGAACAGTGGCCATATCGGGCTGTTGCTCAAGCCCTGGAGGTCATCCCTCGCACCCTTATCCAGAACTGTGGAGCCAGCACCATCCGTCTACTTACCTCCCTTCGGGTGAGTTCCTTTCCATGCTATTCTCAGGTAGGAAAGGCTGTGTTTGTTCTAAGAGGATGGTTCATGTCTGTCCTCCCAGGTTCTCCTGGTAGCTTCTTCCTTTAAAAATCTCTGTCTTAATTTTTACCTTATTTGCTGTCATTGGCATTTTCTTTTATTCCTACCTTATCAATCAGTGTATTTGGTTTTTGTCTAATGGTCTCCGTCAGCTTACTTGTTCCTAATATTTTCCCCTTTAACTATTTATGCTTGTTCCAACTACAGGCCAAGCATACCCAGGAGAACTGTGAAACTTGGGGTGTAAATGGTGAGACAGGCACTTTGGTGGACATGAAAGAACTGGGCATCTGGGAACCATTGGCTGTCAAGCTGCAAACGTATAAGACAGCAGTAGAGGTGAGGTAGTCAAAATCATATGCTGTGCTATTTAAGAATTCTTCAAAAGCTCTCCCAAGGAATTCCATCCCCCTGCTTATTTTTAGCTCATTTAGAAAGCGTAAAAAAAATAAATAAATAAAAATAAAAAGCAAGGTAGTGGGAACTTTGCTGGTGGTCCAGTGGTTAAGACTTTACTATCCACTTCAGGGGGTGCAGGTTTAGTATCTAGTTTGGGAGCGAAGATCCCACGTGCCTTGGGGCCAGAAAACCGAAATAAAAGAACAGAAATAATATTGAAACAAATTCAGTAAAGACTTTAAAAAATGATCCACATGAAAAAGTCTTAAAAATAAAGAGCAAGGTAAGGAATTCTCTGGCAGACCAGTGGTTAGAACTCTGCTCTCTCACTGCCCAGAGCCCAAGTCTAGCCTCTGCTCAGGGAACTAAGATCTAGCAAGCTGTGTGGCACAGCCAAAAGGGGGGGAAATAGTTAACTAGCACAAGTAGCATCTCTTGCTTAGGGAGAACTCCATTTACATTCAAGACTATTGAGGGGTAGATTTCAGATAAAATGATAATTATGTAGGAGGAGCTAGGTGATATGTCTGAAAGAAAACAAGTGTCCTTCCTGTCTGCTGACCTCTTTGGGGCTGTGGTTTTTCTCCTAGACGGCAGTTCTGCTGCTGCGGATTGATGACATCGTCTCAGGCCACAAAAAGAAGGGTGACGACCAGAGCCGGCAGGGTGGAGCTCCTGATGCTAGCCAGGAGTGAGCAGTGGACAAGGCAACCTCAACGCACAGAGCCAACAGAGTCTCCCCCTTCCCTGAGCCAGACTGCCAGGGACACTGTGGATATCTTTGTTTGGAAGGGATCAGGTTGAGGGGCAGCCCCAGTCTCTTTCTGTCCCAGCTCAGTTTGCAAAAGGCACTGACATGTAATTCTTCTCTATTGTAAGCTTTCCATTTAGTTTGCTTCCGATGATTAAATCTAAGTCATTTGAGATGGTTGTTATGTGTTTTTCAACCTTGGGTCATATCTCTGCCTCCTGGCAAGGAGGGAGAAGGCAAAAAACCTTACTGGGGAGGAAGAAAGATGGGGATTGAGGTCATTAAGTAACTGTCTTCTTGAGAGGGTATTCTTCAGACTTCTCAGTAGATGCTAGTTGGGATGGCTCTTGGAATTCAAAGCTTGATACTGTAAAGCTTAAAGAAGCACAACTTTGCATTCGCCACCCAAAGAACAGGAAGAACCTGTCCAAACTATGGGTATTCCTTGTGTGTGGTTGTATATAGAGCAATACCTGATATGTGCCAGGGCTCTGGCGTTTGTCCTAAAGAACATAGAGCATGTGTTTTTTGTACTGTATTCTGTAGCTTTTCATAGTCTTTCCTCTCATACCTAGAATTCTTGCTTTGCTGTCTCCCAGGGTTCTTCCTGATTCCAGTCTGTTCTCGCTGCTGGCATATTTTCCTGGTGTGTTTGTGTCACAGTAGGGTCTCTACTTTCCCTGCTAGCATTAACAAAGGATGTCCCATTTTGTGCTTCATTTTTATCAAGACAAAAAAAGTCTTGTGACCCTGAGACTTTGGAGGCTAGGTGGGGCTAGCCTTTGATTTCTTCAGAGACCTTCTTCTGGGCCGTCCCCTGTTCCCTTTGTCCTCATGACTCATGCAACCAGATTGTATCTCCTCTGTGACCACAACAGTTGGTATTACTAAGTTTAATATTAGGTGGCATGATAATAGCTAGCACATAGTGCTTATTGTATAATGGGTATGTTTTGCTCACTTAGCATATATTAGCCAGTCCTTAAAAGGACCCTGTAAGATGGGTAATAACCCTGTTTTATTAGGAATCCAAAGCATAAAGTAATTTGTCCAAGGGTCACAGAAATGATCAGTGGCAGGCCTAGAATTCCTGTGTAGATGGTGTGGCTCTAAAGTTGCATTTACAATTAGCAGTGATGACTGGACAGAGGTGTGCCATGGAAAAGGGCCTTTGGAGATCTGCTCTCATCACACCTGGTATTTAACTTGTGGTTTAACCCGGTCCAAAGTTTTCAGCTTTTCGTTTTCTGTGAGAGGCTCAGAAATAAGCCTACCTACCTTTTACTGAAATCCCTGCCTCTACATGAAGTGTTAACTCCCTCAAGAGTTTTCAGACATTAAAGATAATGAGTTAATTCCCAAAGATCTTGAAGAGATGGTGCTTAAAAGACCTAAAAATTATGGAGGGAAGAATTGCCTCCCATTTATTCTTTACACTTTTCTAGGTCCATTCTGGTTTTACCTCTAATGGTTAAGTACATGGATAATTATACATCGTAGTCTAACCTATGGAAATCCCTCCTGGAATGTTAGATCAATCTCTATCCTTCATCAGAGCTTTCAGAGCCCCTTTGTGCTTTTCAAAGCCTAAATTTAAGTCATTAAAGTCCACCCAAGAAACTGTGTTGCCTGCATGAGCTCTAAAATGATTCCATGAATGCAGTTTTTGCTGCCACCTTGACTTTGTCATGATTCTCTGGCAAATTCCTGGATTGAACTAAATTCTATTCTGCACCTGCCCCCTCATAAAGCAGTATTTTGGGGATCGGGGGGGGGGAGCCTTGAATCCTGTTAAACACTCTGTACTCGGCCAAGACACTAGCATATATCCTCACTTGTCCAGTCTAGTGGTGACACTTCAGAGGGTGTAACTACTTTTTTTCTCAAGGAAAGATTTTTAAATTTTATTGATGTATAGGTGATTTACAGTGTAAATTTCTGTTATACAGCAGAGTGACTTATATTGGTATATACTCTTTTTCATGTTCTTTTCTGGTTTATCACAGGATAGTGAATGTCGTTCCCTGTGCGGTACAGCAGGACTTAGTTTATGCATTCTGCATATAATAGTGTGCATATTACCAGTCCCAGACTCCCAGTCCTCCTGTCCATCCTTAACAACCATAGTCTGTTCTGTATGTCTGTGAGTCTGTTTCTGTTTCACGAGTGTGTTCATTTGTGTCATTTTGGGGTTTATTCTTTTACTTTTTTGGATGTGCAACACAGCATGCAGGTCCTTGCCTCTCTGGCCAGGGATGGTGCCCATACCCTCTGCGGTGGAAACACAGATCCTTAACCACTGGGCCACACCGGGGAGGTCCCTTTGTAGGCATTTTTTCCCCCTCTATAGACTTCTTAAGGATGGCCATTTTGACTGGTGTGACATGGCCATGATGACTGGTGTATATATATATATATAAACTCATAGTTTATCATTTTTATTGGAGTATAGTTGATTTAATCTAGTTTTGATTTGCATTTCTTTAACAGTGTGATGAGCATCTTTTCATCTGCCTATTGGCCATTTGTATGTTTTCTTTGGAGACATGTCTCTGTTTAGGTATTCTGCTCATGTTTCAGTTGGGTTGTTTTGCTTGCAGTGGAGTTGTATGACCTGTTTGTATACTTTGGAAATTAATCCCTTGTCAGTCACATCATTTGCAAATATCTTCCAGTACGTAGGTGGTCTTTTAGTTTTGTTTCTGGTTTCCTTTGCTGTATAGAAGCTTGTAAGTTTGATTGGGTCCCATTTGTTTATTTTTGCTTTTATTTCTGTTGTCTTGGGAGAGTACCCTAAGAAGTCATCAGTATGATTTGTGTCAGAGAATGTTTTGCCTATGTTCTCTTTTAGGAGTTTTATGATGTCTTAAAATTGTCTGTGTCACCTCCCTAGTGGTTCAGATGGTAAAGAGTCTGCCTGCAATGTAAGACACCCAAGTTTGATCCCTGGGTTGGGAAGATCCCATGGAGAAGGAAATGGCAACCCGCTCCAGTATTTTTGCCTGGAAAATCCCATGGACAGAGGAGCCTGGGGGGCTACAGTCCTTGGGGTCACAGAGTCAGACAGGACTGAGCGATTTTTACATACATATGTTTGCCTGTAAGCCAGTTGAGTTGGTTTGTGACTCAGCTGGTAAAGAATCTGCCTGCCATGCGGGAGACCTGGGTTCAGTCCCTGGGTTGGGAAGATCCCCTAGAGAAGGGAAAGGCTACCCACTCCAGGATTCTGGCCTGGAGAATTCCATGGACTGTATTGTATAGTCCATGGGCTTGCAGAGTCAGGCCCAACTGAAGTGACTTTCACTTTGTGTATGGTATGAGGTGTGGCTGCCTTTGATTTACATGAGACTGTCCGGCTTTTCCAACACAACTTGCTGAAGATGCTTTTCTTCATTCTATATTCTTGCCTCCCTTGTCAAAGATGAGTTGTCGATAGGTGTTTGTGTTTATTTCTGGACTCTGTTTTGTTCCATTGATTCATATGTCTGTGCCGGTATCAAGCTGTGTTGGTTACTGTAGCTTTGCAGTAGTGTCTGATGTCTGGAAGGGTTATGCCTTCTGCTTTGTTCTTTTCCCTAAGGATTCCTTTGGCAGTTCTGGGTCTTTTATGGTTCCATATAAATTTTAGAGTTTGTTCTAGTTCCTGTGAAAAATGTCATGGGTAATTTGTTAAGGATCACATTAAATCTATTGATTGCTTTGGGTAGCATGGCCAGAAAAAAATGAAAATTTTTAAAGAAACTTGAGTTTATCCTAGACTAGCCGTCAGAGGGAAAAAAATGAAAATGGATCCTTTCTTTGTTTCTTATGGCAAAATTAGTTCCCGGCAACTGAAAGATTTAAATATAAGAGCACTAGAAAAAAACATGAGATTTAAAAATACACACATCAGGATTTCCCTGATAGTCCAGTGGTTAATAATCTGCCTGCCAATGCAGGGGACATGAGTTCGATTCCCGGTCTGGGAACATTCCACATGCCTCGGGGCAAACAAGCCTGAGCACCACAACTACTGAAGCCCACACACAGCCAAAAGTAAATTTTTTAAATATATACTTACATATCAGGGGAATTCCATGGCACTCCATGGGACTCCATGCTTTCACTGCCAAAGGTACAGGTTCCATCATGGGTCAGGGAACTTAAGCTCTTGCAAGCTGTGCTGTGTGGCAATGAATGAATGAATGATAGGGACTCAGAAAAATAGGCAAAGGGTATAAACAGCTCCAGGGAAGCAAAAATAAATGACTAATAAAACATGGAGAAGTGTTTGATTTTATTCATTCGGAAATGCAAATTGGTAAGCACTTGCTAGAGTGTGGGGGAAATGGGCCCTTAAAACATGGTGTTATCAATTCATGAACTTCACAGAAGGCAACTTGAGGCAATTCTGCTCCTGAGTATTTGATTACAAATATATATGAAATGCTGTTCATACAGGGATATTCTTTTCAGTGTTTTTTGCCTGTAGCAAAACGTTTGATAATATCAAGGTTCTGGCTAAATATATCCATGGAACATCCCCCCTGCAAGGAAAGACTGGAGAGATACAGAATAGTCCTCAATATATAAGTGAAAAAAATTTCTAGACAGTGGATTCCATGGTATCTTATTACACATATTACACATATATGTATATAGTATTATATATGCATGTATATATGCAGTCCAGTGGTTAAGACTGCTTCCACTGCAGGGCATGGATTCAATCCCTAGTTGGGAAACAGATCCCACATACCATGTGAGGTGGCTAAAAAAAATACATAAACATGAGCACGCATAGAATATTTTAGGAAGGACACATAAACTGGTAATAATGGTTGTCTCAAGGAAGGACCCAGGTTGCTGATATCCTCTGGTACTTTATAAATACTGTACCGTATGCATTTTTCCTTAGCTAAAATGACTAGGGTTAAGAAAAAGCAGAAGTGCATTCATTCAGCCAGGCATGAGCTGAATTATATACTCAGTTCTATGACAATTATGTATCACTTTTATGTCTTGTTTTCTGAGAGTTTCTTTTCTCCACAGTAAAATTGTGAGCTCTCTTCCAAGACCAAAACCTGCATAGCTGGGGGCTCAATAATTATTGATAATTGAGAAAAAGAACCCTCTGAGATGTGCTATTCCCCCACCGAATTCTTTCAAATTCTCTGTGCCTTCCCTGCCACAGTCATTCTGTAGATTCCATTTGAATGTTTGAATCCAGATATCATGCCCCCTTGTAGGTAACGTTAGTAGGACCAGTTGGGTAGGAGAGGTTGGCAGTGTATTTGCAAATCTAGTCGGAGATGGCTCGCTTGCCAGCCTCAGTTGGGGATGACAAACTCCTAACCTTTCTGATTCTATTCTTAATTCAAAAACGGAAGGGAAGCGTTCTCTTTAAGAACTGTTGTGGCGGCCCCGCCCTTTTAAGAGATCAGCTGAATCTGTGAGTCACATGACTTCAGCGTCTCTTCCGTCCTCTGAAGTTGGGACCACATGAGCAGCTATGAGAAGCCTAGACGGGGTTGGGGGTACTGTGCCCCCAGCCCCGTGCTCCTCCTGAGTCTCCTGACGGCAGCTCCACTTGGCCTGCTGGGGGAGGAGACCCGCCAGGTGAGGGGCTAGAGGGATAGGTGTTTCAGCATATGCTGCCTTGAAGGGTGGTTGGAATCCAGGACAACCGAAGGGTGGGGATGAAAGGTGCTTGCATTGAGGAGTCCAGGTAGCCATGGGCCACGGTACAGGATTATGGAGTAGGATGGATGTGGTAGAATCTGGATGCTGACTTAGCCCTGTGTGATCCAGGTCCAAGCAAGTGTTGGATATTTTTCTTCCTCAGCCATGTGCCCTGATCTCTCCACCAGGGTTAGGGCAGTTTTGGTTCTACCCACCTCTCCTCCCACCATGTCTGCCCTTTACAGTGAGTTCTCTTAGCTCCCACAAGCATTCCTCTTGCACTCTTTCCCCATAATTTTGCAAGCCCCCTCTCATCCCCAGACATCTTTGTCCTCTGTCTCTCCCTGACCCTGTTCTCTTGACCGTCCTCCACTCCTTGTTCCAGGTGTCTCTGAAGGTCATCTCTAACTGGCCGGACTTTTCCCAGAACCTGCTTCATATTCAGGCAGTGGGTACCAACTCCACGCTGCACTACGTGTGGAGCAGCCTGGGCCCCCCAGCAGTGCTGTTGGTGGCCACCAACACCCCCAACAGCACCCTGAGTGTCAACTGGAGCCTCCTGCTCTCCTCTGATCCTGACGGGGGCCTGATGGTGCTCCCCAAGAAGAGCATCCAATTTTCTTCTGCCCTTGTCTTTACCAGGGTGAGGAGGTTGGGGGAGATCCAAGGGGAAGAGTGCAGAGAAGAGGGTTCATTCTAGTCAGAGGGAGAAATTGAAGACTGGGAGTAGGTGAAGTACAGTCATGTGTGAGAGCCTGGGGTGGGGCCAGTGATGGTGTGGTGCGGGATGGAGTGCGGGATGGTGATTCAGGAGAAAGCTGGACTCGGGCAAATCCTGTCCCTCCCTACCCCTCCCCACCTCCCCTCACAGCTATTTGAGTTTGACAGCACCAACATGTCTGATGCGGCCTCAAGGCCTCCAGGAAAATCATATCCCCCGTACTCCTTGGCCAATTTCTCCTGGAACAACATCACTGACTCACTGGATCCTACCACCCTCAGCGCCACGTTTCGAGGCCACCCTGTTCGTGACCCCACTGGGGCTTTTGCCAATGGCAGCCTGGCCTTCAAGGTAAGAATATAGGGAATTTGAACTCAAAAGGCTGGTTTATGAGTGCGGGAATTAATGATAGGGGTCGCCTTCCAACATAGGCATCCACCTGCCTCCCACCTCTCCTGTGCCTGTTCCATCGTAGGTCCAGGCCTTCTCCACATCTGGCCGACCAGCCCAACCCCCTCGCCTCCTGCACTCAGCGGACACCTGCCAGCTAGAGGTGGCCCTGGCTGGGGTCTCTCCCCGGGGAAACCGCTCCCTGTTTGGGCTGGAGATTGCCACCTTGGGCCCAGGCCCTGGCTGCCCCTCGATGCAGGAGCAGCACTCCATCGATGATGAGTATGCCCCTGCTGTCTTCCAGGTGAGGCTTCCAGCAGAAAAGCAGACAGGTTGGGGTGTGAAGGGGGACTCTATCAGAACCTCAGAATCATTCAACAATTTACAATTTATCAACACTTCATTCAGTTCCTTTAAGTGCTGAACGCTACGCTAATGACTTTAGCTCAGAGGAAAGGCAGTACGTGTGACTATTGCTCTGACTGGTGGGATGTGCAAGGGCCTGGGGTCCCAGAGTTGGGAGCTGTTGCAGGCTTGCTGAGTGTTGAGACTGGGAAAGGACTCAGTGTCATCCAGCTGTGAGTTCTAGAACCAGGCCTAGGATTCAGGACAACTCATGACAGAAGGAGGCTGTGAAAGGGCGGGGGAACAGAAGGGTCCAGCATCTTTTGTCCTCCTCAACCTATTTTCTCCTCAGTTGGACCAGCTGCTATGGAGCTCCCTCCCATCAGGCTTCATGCAGTGGCGACCAGTGGCTTTCTCCCAGAAGCAGGGCAGCCGGGAATCAGCCATGCCCTGCCAATCTTCCCCACTTTACCCCACCTTGGCATACCTTCTCCCCCAGTCACCCATTGTCCGAGCCTTCTTTAAGACCCAGAACAACTTCTGTGCCTTCAATCTGACATTTGGGGCTTCCACAGGCCCTGGCTACTGGGACCAACACTACCTCAGCTGGTGAGAGTCAAGGCCTGGGCCATGGGTTTGGGAGGTTGAAGTGGAGGAAGGTTAGGCCTCTCAGCCTTCCCTCCTAAGCCTGACTCCCTCTCTTTCTCACTCTGCTTGCTCTAGGTCTATGCTCCTGGGTGTGGGCACCCCTCCAGTGGATGCCTTGTCCCCGCTAATCCTAGGCATCGTGGCAGTGGCCCTCGGTGCTCCAGCGCTCATGCTGCTGGCAGGAGGCCTGTTTTTGCTGCTGGGCCACAAGCGGTACTCTGAATACCAGTCCATAAATTGAGGCCTGCTGTCTAGAGGAAAGGACATTACTGGACCTGCCTTGCTGGTCTGAAGGTTTGAGGGTCAGTATTCCCAGCCAGCTCCTCCTCTTTGCTGTCTTCCTTTTTGGTAGAACCTCAGATCAGCCTCAACTTCCTGGGGGACCCAGGTGGGGCTTCCTTCCAACTCTGAGGAGGGACCAGACACAGAATGATTGCTAGAGGGAGGGTCCCCTCCGTGTTGCCTCCCCGTTCCTCCACCATCCCATTTCCCTTGAATGGGACTCACAGGCCTAAATGAGAGAGGCCTTCTGACTGCTTGCTGCCCCGGAAGGCATGAAATATACTAGTTTTTTTTCCACAGGGCTTGTCTCTCAATATGGTGCGTTGTTGGGCAGGTTGGGACCTGGTTCCAGGGAATGAGAGGGCTGGAGGAGGGGCGTGGAAGGCAAGTTCTTTTTGAAGGCCCATTTCTTCATCAGGCCTAGTTCTCTCCCTTGCCATGGGACAAGGCTCCTGCCAGCCACTCTTCAATATGTGGATCTGGGAGGTTTCTGGTGGAGTCTGAATCAAACAAGGAAGGGACACTTGAGGTTGAGGGGCAAACCCGACGGAAGAGCCAAGAGAGACTGTGGTGTTAATCGTTTATTATTACATACACATTCAGACGGGGTTAACATCAACCACCATGCCTTCCAACCACTCCCAGCCACCACGTGTGTGGGCATGCACGCGCACACACACACACACACACACACACCTCTTAGGAAGCAGGTTTCCCTGTCTGCGCCTCTTCCCACAGGAGAGGTATGACTGGGCACTTTGGAGATGCAAAGTTACAGGGACCTAAAGGGTTGGAAGATAGGAGTCAGCCACTCTGGGTTAGAGCAGCTGTAACGGACTTAGCTGAGGCCAAAGGGCCTACGAAGGCCAGTCATGGAGGGTCCTGAACCCAGGTCCCTAGAAGGTTTTTCACCAAATAGGAAAGTCCTATTTGATCTGATGCCCAGCCTTTACCTAAGGCATAGGCATGTTTCCAGTCTCTTGGAAGCCCTCTGCTTAGACACCCAGCACAGAAACGGTCAGAGTTTTGGCTATGCTCTACCTCCTCTGGCCGGAGGCTGCAGGGTGGGGAGCAGAGTCCAGCCTTTGTGGGCCCTGTGGCAGTGGTCAGAGGCTGCTAAGGAAGGAACCATGCCTCTGCCCCTGCTCCCGTGTCCTCAGCATTCTTAAGGAACACGGCTGTCCACCTCTTTCCCTGAAAGACTGTTTAAGTCCCTCCCACATAATTGTCCCAGGCTCCTAAGGTGAAGGGGAGCACCCCAGGCTCTGATTGGATGGCACCCCTGTCGGGGCAGTAGGTGGGTTCATCCCGCCCAGGAACAGAGCGGGCGGGGCAGCTCAGCCCCGGGCGCGGGGCCTGTAGTCTGAGGCTGAGCGGGCATGGTCAGGGTAGTCCAGGCGGCTCTCAGAGGCAGTGAGCATGCGTTCAGGTTCCACCACGAACATGTAGTAGAAGTTCCACATCAGCATGGACAGCAGGGGCAGGAACGTCAGGCCGTAGCCAAAGCCTCGGAAGGAGCGGCCCACAGCGAAGGTCAGCCAGTATATGAGCCTGGGAGGCAAGCAAAGGTCGGGCTTTCCTTGAGGGAAGCGCATCAGCTAACAGGTTGATGATAGGGAGAGTGGAAAGTGAGGGAGGCAGATGGGGGTTGGTTGGCACAACTGATACCTCTAAAAACAACCAGTGTTCATGCACTGACGTATGTGCCAGGCACGGTACTAATTACTCTAGGGGCACTGTTTAATTTAGACCTCACATCTCTATGAAGTGTGTATATTATTCACCTCCCTCTTTGTATACTTCTCAAATTTGAATAAAAAGTTTTGAGTAGGCAACATACATTTACATGGTTCAAAATTCAAAGGCACCAGTGAGTAGAGTAAAATGTTTTCCAGATACTCTGTTCTCTTCCTTCCCCTCCTCACCTCAATTCTACTCCCACCCCAGACATCCAATGTTATGGTTTCTCGTACATCGTGAAGTTTTCTGTATATATAAGCAAGAAAATTTATGTTTTCCTCCCCTGCCTCTTTTTTTTTTTTTTTTGAGGTTTGGGAGCATACTATTCCATGGGGTTGCAAAGAGTCGGACATGACTGAGCGACTGAACTGAACTGAGCATACTATAGAGACTGTTCTGCACATTGATTTTTTCCCCCATTTAATGCATCTTGGAGGTTATGTCATTGTGTGTGTGTGCTCAGTTGCTCAGTTGTGTCCGACTCCTTGAGACTCCATGGGCTGTAGCCCACCAGGCTCCTCTGTCCATGGAACTTTCCAGGCAAGATTACTGGAGTGGGTTGCCATTTCCTACTCCAGGAGATCTTCCCAACCCAGGGATTGAACCCACATCTCCTGCATCTCCTGCATTGGTAGGTGGAGTCTTTTCCACTGACCCACCTGAGAAGCGATTGTGTCGTATCAGCATATAAAGAGCTTCATTATTTTGCAGCTGCAGTACATTCCACTGTGTTTATTTCCCCTTTTGTAGATGGAGAAACTAAGATTCCAAAAGGTTAAGACGCATCCAGTGTCACATATTGGGGAAACAGTAAAACCATGATTTGAACCCATGCCTGTTCATCAGCCTCTCCTGCCATTTTAGAGGGGCTGAGGGAAAGAAGAGAGTAAGGAAGCCAGCTTCAAGGGAGCTTGAAGCCCAGAGGGGTGGATCAGGCACAACTAAATTTCCCCTTTTGGAAGATCCATTTAAAAATACACACCCCTCAGTGGAAGGAGGGCAGCAGTTTCCTCCTAACTTAACGAAGGGCCACCTATTACAAAATTGAGATGCCCCTGTATTTTCACCTGTGTAATAGAGGGAAGAGCACATGCTGCAGGTAACTTGCCCATAGGGAAGGACCCTGGATGGGAGGGAGGGGACTTGGGTTCCAGTCCTGCCTCTGCTGCTGACAGACTTATGCCACTCTTCTCCCCCAGCCTGCAGTTACTTCCTCTCATAGTCATTTTCTCTCGGTAAAATGGGTAAGATGGACCAGACAACCGCTGGTCTTTAGCTCCCTGATGATTCTTGCTGCTTAAACCGAATTAAACCAACTTCTTATCTGAGACCAGCATTCCCTGAGAAGAAGATCTGAGGTTGAGTTACATGAACAGGAACATACTTATCTTGGAAAACATCTACTGGAAGAACATGCAGGACTGTATGATGGTCAGGAGACTGGCAGGACATATGACCATTAGACTACCCTTAGAAATGACAGGAAGACAGATTTTAGCTTAATAGGAAGAATGCTTTAGCAGTTAAAGCCACCTGGAATCCTATATGGAAAATAACAGAACTTCCCTAGTGGTCCAGTGGTTTAAGGATCCGCCTGCCAATGCAGGGGACACAGGTTCGATCCCTGCTCCAGGATGCTGAAGCATGGTTCTACATCCTGTGGGACAACACAGCCCCGGTGCCACAACCACTGACCCGTGCCCTGGAGCCTGCGAGCCCCAATTACTGAGCCCACACGCTGCAACTACTGAAGCTTGTGTGCTTTGAGCCTGTGCTGCAGCTAGACAGTAGCCCCCACTTGCTACAATTAGAGAAAGCCCTTGATCAGAAACAAAGACCCAACACAGCCGTAAATAAATAAATATGATAAAATCTCTTTAAAAAGAAAATAACAAAAGGAAATGTATTAGGGGAAAAAAATGGAAAGATCTGTATTTCGGAAAGACTTCAGAAATTCAAGGGTACCTTCTGGGTTAACATAGTTTACATGAAAATACCCCTAAGGATCTTCAAATTCTAAATGAAAGGGGAGTAATGAGGCTGCTATGAGACCTATGTGCCCTCAATGTGGACGAACAGGACAATCCCTTGCCTAGCCCCCACCCACTCCCATTTGATAAGCAGAATTTCCTGCCTACAGGGAAAGAGACAGGCTAGTGAAGGGACCAGGACCATTTAGCAAAGTAAGCACTGGGAGAGCAGACTGTTGGGAGTCAGAATTGAGAGCTATTGTCAAAGATCTGAATTGACTAGAGAATGCCAGAGGTTAGAGTCAGGGCAGAAGTTTTTAGCACAGTATAAAAGAGAACTTTCTAAAAATTAGGACTTTTGATAAATAAGACTGCCTCATAAAGAACAAAGCATTTGGTCACAGGGGATGTTCAACCAATGTTCAGCCAATGGCCACCTGACCAGAGTGTCATAGAGGAGTGGTTGCAATGGGTGAGAAGTTGGTCTAGGTGACACCCGAAAGCCCTTCCCTTCCTGTTCTAGGTTGATATATGTGTCTTATGAAAGACATAGGAGCTGCCAAGTGAGGTAAAGTGCAAGGCAGAAAGTGGACTCAACTTTCCAGGGTGCACATTTGGGCTGATTCAGAATCCACAATCCCCCTGGCTCTCCAGACATTCAGATGTCCAGGTCCCTTAAGCACCACCACCTCCTCTGTGCCCCACCCCCAGCCCCAACTCACCGGGAGATGGCAAAGAGACCAGTGAGTAGAGGGAGCAGTTTGAGGGTATCTTGAGGCAGGTAGGTGGAAAGCACGGCCAGGTTGAAGAAGTAGAGGATGAAGAGCTGGACCGACTGGGCCACATACCGCCGGTGGATCTCCACCTCCCGCCGTGGCTCCCCAAAGGGTCGAAGGGCAGAAAAGCACAACAGGCTCAGCCCGTACACCAGGATCCCTGGGTGGGGTTGGAGAGCACACAGGATCAGGTGAGGAAGCAGGTGGCAGAGTTTGCAGCATGAGCTTCGGCTCTGCACCCTGGGTGGGGCTGAGGTGGTCCTGAGTGGAGGTGAGCACACGGGGGACAGGGTGTGGGAGGCCCTGAGGGTCCAGGTCTAGTGATGGGAAAATTTGCTGCTCTCCAAGTCAGGCAGGCCCTGCCCTCCAGCCCAATTCTCAGACGCCCCCTCCCTTCCCGCAGGGCCAAGGCTCACCCAGTACAATGGGGAAGGTGGCGAAGACCCCACAGCGCAAGGTGTAGATGAGGCGGGAGCTCATGGTGGGCAGGCGTGGGGCATCGAAGGGCAGGAACGCGTATGCCCCGTAGAGCAGGCAGGGGAAGAGGATGAGGGCGGCTCCCACCGAGGCCACAGCTCTCAGCACCTCTCGGCCCCCACAGCCCCCACAGCCCCCACAGCCCCCGCAGGAGTGGCCAGGCGGCTTCACCACTGCTTCGGCCCACTTGCACTCCGGGGGCTCAGGGTGGGTGGCCCGGGAAGGCAGGAAGGTCCGGCGGTGCTCGCTCTCGCTGGCCTCACAGCACACAACGAGGTCTTCCTGGGGCCGCCGCTCAATGCACTGTAGGTCGATGGGCACGAAGGCCCGGGCTGCCTTCTCGGGCAGCAGGCTGGCTTCATCTTCGGGCAGCTCCTCTAGTTTGGTGGGTGGCTCTGACTCAGGGGGCTCAGGCTCAATGTTCCTCCAGCCGGGGGGATCTGGGAACGGGGCACTGGGCTGGGGGCCAGTTCCCCAAGGCAAAGTGGCAGCCTCACTTACTGTGCTGTCTAGACCATCCTCGGTCCCCTCTCTGGCTGTGGGAGACTCAGCTGAAGACCCCACTCTAGAGGACTCAGCTCCAAGGGACTCAACTCCATCTTCTCCTTCCAGCTTCCGGCCATTGGGGACCAAGGCCTGGGGTGGGCTCTTCTCCAGGGCCTCAGGCCCCTTCACTTCCAGCAGGGCCAGGGTCTCGGGTTCTGTCATCCTGGGACCCGACTTCTCACGTCTACCACAAAGTCGTGTCACCCTGGAGGGAGCAGAGCGAAGTTCTGTCAGAAGCTGCCATCCTCTGGCCCTCAGGAGGGGTTGGTAGAACCGCAACTCTCCAGGGCAGCTGGCTTCATGGACTTTAGCCCCTTCTGGGATCTTAGAGAGAATCTGATCTGGAGGAAGGTGTTCAAACAGTGGGAGGCAGGAGAGAAGTGTGCAGCTGAAATGGAGGCACCCTTTCGACATCAAATGCTATTCAGCAGGAGAGGGTGAGTCAGGGGGCACAGGCCCTGGCAGCTATGGCCTCAGCCAGCCTCCACCCACGCCTTCTACCCCCTCCACCAAAACCCCTGGGGTCATGGCCACCCTAATGCAGGAATAGGAGGAAAGGGAGATATTTAGAATTTTGCCAAGGGCTTTCTTCCCATGAAGGATCTTGTGAACAGAGACGCTGCCCCTTTTCCTCCACACCTCCCCTTCCCTGCAGATCCCCAACTGGAACTTTCCTGGCAGCTGACACCCATGATTTGCCAACAGATCTGTCCCAAGGAGCTGGTAGTGGCAATGCACCCTGGTCTTTTGTCTCCAATCTGGATACTTGGTCAGTTTCCAAACTTCTCAGTAACCCACCCCCTACATCTCTGGAGGGCCCGGGTGGATCCATTCTGACCTCTAAGTCTAATGAAGGTTGTTTCCCATGCCTCCTCTCTGGTCTTTGTCCCCTCCCTGCTGTCCTCCATCTCACTGCTTCTGGATGGGGCTGATTTCCCTCTCTCCACCTCCCCAAGGACCTCCTACCCCCTACTGTGTGGACCCATGACACCCTCTTACTTTCCATCTGGAGAGAGGTAGAGGGTCCCCAGCGTCCGGGAAGGAGCTGCCCAGCTCTTCTGCTGGCTCTACAAGTATTCCTTTCGGTCTCCCTCCCTTTACCTGTGTCTCCAAACCTGTCTGACCAGAGCAGGTGGGGCCCAGTTTAAAGGGGAAGGCCCCGCCCTGCTGAATCTGCCGACAGAAAAAGCATTAAAGGAGGACGTCATGCTTTCTGAGCCTAGAGGTGTGTGATCTGGGAACATGGGAAGTGTAGGAACTCCCAGCACAGGAAAGCAAAGGGGGAAGAGTGGGTTTCTGCATCAAAGGGCTCTGAGATAGATTGGGATACCCCCAAAGAAGTAGAATTACTACCCTTATTCATTCAGTATTTACTGGGCACCTATTAGGCACTATTCTAGGGACAGACACAGGAAAAACAAGATGACAGGCAAAGTCTCTGTGCTTAAAAAGCTGGCTCTATTGGGGTAACAGATAATCAAGAAGCCTAGTAACTAAACCAACATGACAATATCAATAGGGAGAAACCTCTTTGCCAAAGTGATATCTGAGCTGTGACCTGATGAGAAATCTGGAGAATGAGTGTTCCAGACAGAGGAACAGCAAGTGAAAGGCCAATGAGTGGGAAAGACAGGTTGTTTCAGGACAGAAAGGTCAGTCGATGTCTGGAAAGTAAATTTATGTTTCCACTACAGCGTGTACATGGGTCCACTGAACACTTTAGGTTTAAGGTTAAGAAAGCAATAGGAATCCAAGGTGATCTTTCCCATGGAAGGACCAGGCGGGCAGAAACATAAGGCTGTTGCTTCTCATTCCTGTGGATCTTTTCCCCTGAAGTCATTTGAGCTTTATGGGGGGAGGGGCAGTGTCTGGTTTGCTCATGCCTGGGTCTCCAGAACCCAGAACTGTGGCTGGAAGACTGGCAGGTGTTCAGTAAATGTTTGCTGGGCTGGTTGGAGATTAACAGAAAATTGAAATCTTTGGGTTGGGTGGGGGAACTGAAAGGCCCAGGTACAGAAGTCCTGAATTGGATGGCCTTTCTCTATGTCCTGCTTGACTCTCCAAGAAAATTTTCACCTACACGTTTTTTGTTTAATAGGGAAAAGGGGAGAATTAGAATCATTCTATCCAGTAATCTGAAAGAGGCTCGGCTCAAACGGATGGGCCAAATGACCACTGTCGGACAAAGCAAAGTCATGCTCCTAGCTGTGAGCCCATCTGTCCAGATCCAGCTTAGCCTCAGCACCCTCGCCGCAGAGTCCACTGCTTGTTGTCTGGCAGCTGTGTCAATAAAGTTTTTCGCAAGGGATCACCGAAGCCGGAGAGAGGCCAGGCTGCCCAGAGTTAGTTCTGGCAACTTCCCGGGAGGGAAAAAGAGTTTCGCGAGATTTGGTAGCAGCAGGCCACTGGCACGCCACCTGCACCTGCTATCGCGAGATTTGGCAGGCGGAGGAGGAGCTGTCGCGGTCAGCCGCCTCACAGCGATGGCGGCCGAGCAGGGCCGGCGGCGGTGGCGGCTGCGGCTACGGCCGGAGACAGCAGTGGTGGCAGTAGCGGTGGGTGGCGGGGGCCTGTGACCGGGAGCCGCCCCTGGGCCCGGGCATCATGAGCCAAGGCCCCCCCACAGGGGAGAGCAGTGAGCCCGAAGCAAAGGTCCTCCACACTAAGCGGCTTTACCGGTGAGAGGGGCCGCGGCGTGAGTGCAGCCGCCAAGGGAAGTGGGGGACGGCGAGGGGCGGGGCCTCCCGGACAGGCGGGCTCCGGTACCGGGCTGGGGTATGGGTGAACGAAGAGGGTGCAATTTTGGAGGGAGCAAAGGGGGCGGGGCCCCATAACCCGGGGTTGAGCTGAAAGAAGGAATTGGGTGGGTGGGAGGTTGGGAGGGAAGCACGTGGAGGGAATCTCTTCCGCAGTGAGCTTGGGACGGGGCACCGAGCTTTGCGGATTTGGGGTAAGAAGGTTGGAATTGGGGGCTGCAGCGGTTGAGAAGGTGAGGGTGGGGTCACAGATGGGAGAAAAACCCGGAAGGGAATAGTGCTTAGAACCCTGTAAGGATTTACAGGGAAGAACCCTGGACTGAAATCAAGAGAGGTCTTTGCTTTGCCGTTCGCCGTGTGACCTTGGGCTTTCGTTTTCTCATCCTTAAAAGGAGAGATCTGTATTTGATAGGCTTTTAGGTCACTTAGGGCTCCAAGTTTTGGGAATCTGAATGAAAATAAAGAGGCTGTAAGAGTATTTGTGTTGGACTGGCAGGGAGGTGAAGGACTTTGAGTCCAGAGTTTTCGTAGGTCATCGGAGCCCATTTCCGGGCACCTGGGGACGGACTCCTGAGTCCTGCTTTCCTTCCAGCCTCATGACTGCAGTCTCTTGCCAGGCAACTCCATTCCTGGTTTCTCATTTCCACAGTGCCACTCACGCTCCTTAACCTCTTCATTCAGCCTTTCAACCCTCTGTTGGGAACAGGCGGGGGTGAACATTTCCCGCCCTAAGCGGAGGATATTTTTGTGTGGGGCAGCTAGAACATGGTTTCTGGATGTGGATCAAAAATAGAATGACACATAAAGACCAAATTGAGTTTTCTCGCTTTCTACTAGGAAGTTAAGAGTTTGGGGTTTTCATTTGGCTGAGGCTCTGGAACCAGAGGTGTTTGCATGAGAAGACTACCTTCAGAGCCATGGGCCCCATCTTGGCAGTGAAAGAGTCAAGAGCATGTTGTCTTTTCCTCCCTTGGGTAGGCATCCTGCCTGGTCTGGCTTCCTAAGCCAGAAGGCAGAGGGGAGTATCGGCTGCTCCAAAAATAGAAAAGTGATCCAAGCCCTCAGCCTCTGGGTTTTCACTGTGGGCTGCCCCAAGCAGTCTCTGGGCAGATGAAGAGACTAGGGTGGCACGTGTGCCTCGTCATGCCGCCGAGTGTCATTGCTGCCTGTCAGACAGAGCGTGGGCAGTGCTGTGAGATTCCTCACTTGTCTCCAGCTTTTGGTGATGGCTTTGGTCATCCTTATCATTCTCAAATCTTGTTTTTTCTCAAGCCACTGCCCTCACAGAACTGACTGACTTAAGCTGATATGTTTGCATGTGTGGCTTACATGTATGCACAGGGGTCTCCCTGCCGGTAATTGTGCATTGTTGGCTTTGGGTAGGGTGGCAATTTGAGGCAGCACATCTCTTTCTATTGTTTATTATAGCAGTGGTGATTTGGTGGGAAGAAGGTTTGATTTCTCAGCGCAAGGTAAATACGTTGTTGGACTATGAAACTGGCATTGGAGCTTCTGTAAATTTGGGTAATTCCCACAATCTGTATAGAAATGAAATTCTGAAATGTTTGAAACCCCTCAGAAAAGGCAGCTGGAAAAGGGATGCTGGAAGGGATGCAAGCACCAATTAGGCCAATTTTAACTACTTAAAAATTTTTTTTAAACATGTTTTTCTTTTTTACCACTGTGCGTCATGACCTAAGATTACAGTAGTGAATGAGACACAAGACTGGTTTTTGTAGTTTTTGTTATAAATGAGATTACAGTTTAATGGAGGAGCCTATGGTCTGATGGGAAATGTAAAAGAAAGTGTGGAGTCCTCCCCGCCACCTTAGATCTGTGCATGGCCCTTTTCTGGGGACTAAACTGGCATATTACTGATGGCTGCCTGGTGCTGCCTTTGGCATTGAGGGCCTGGCTGGCTAAAAGAGCTTGGCTTCCATCTCTAGGCAGCCCAGGAGGTGTTTGGAGAAATGCTGGTCTCTTAAGACTGTCTTTGAGAAGGCCTTGATTACCATCCCACCCACTCAGCTGAGTGTTGGTGATCACTTCACCAAGTATAGGACAGCTTTTAGGGGTACCAGCTGGGCCACCACAAGATGCTAGCCTGCTGTGACCCACTTTCCCTGGCCCAGGAGCACGTTTCAGTATTCTGAATCAGTTTTGGACTATTTTAGGAATTGTAACTCACTATTTTTCGGTTGTTTTGTGTCCAGGAGCAGTGCCTGATTCATCTGTTCTCACAGCTGCTGTCTGTCATCCTCTGGGTTTTACCCTTCTAGAGATGATACTTACTTAGGTACCTCTTGGCCATTCATTGCAGAGTTGCCTTGAACTTTTCTCTTAAGGCCTGGAATATCCTCCTCAGGGTGAAGACCAGTACTTATTAAACACTTACTGTGTACAAGGCATTGTTATGAATGCTTTATGTATTAATTAATTTAACCTGCACAAAATAGGTGATGTTACTAATCCCATTTTATAGATGAGAGAACTGAGATAAAAAAGTTAAATACTTGACCCAGGACTCTATAGCTGGTAGGAAGTAGAGCTAGGACTTGAACCCAGACTATCTGATTCTAGAGACTATTCTCTATATTAAAACAACTGGTTCCTTCAGCAGAATCCAGGAGACTTTAAGAACTTCAGGGACACTCTCATTCCCCTTTCTCTTACCCCATTATTGCAGAACAGAATTTTGTGTTAGGAATGCTTTTCCTTTATGTCTGATAATAAGCCAGCCTTTTAATAATAATAATTCATTTCACCAATATATATCAAATGCTCACTATATACCAGTGCTGTATTTAAATTATTTCATTTACTCTTCACAACAGCCCTTTGAGGTAACTACTCTTATCTCCATTTTTATAAATTGGTAACGAAGCCTTAAACAAGTTAGGTAATTTCACCCAAAATTATAGAGTTAGTAAGACACAGCCAGATTCAAACCCTAGATTTTCTGCCTGGCATCAGAACCTATGCTCTTTCCATTGAGAGAGCCTGCCTTCCCATATCACAGAGTTTCTCTGCCTTGACAGTGTTGACAGTTAGCATGACAGTTATGATGGTGGACTGTCCCATGTATTGTGGGGTGTCTAAGCAGCACACACTAAATGCCATAGCAGTGCCTCTCCTTCCCCTCCCCGGGGTTGTGACAATCAAAAATGTCTTCAGCATTGCCAGACATCTTCTGAGGGGGCGGTTGTATCAAGATGGAGGCTCTGTTCATCTTGTTTTGATTGGAGCTCTACCTGCAGCCATTTCGTTTCCTTACCCCTAATTCTGTAGCTATTCCTGTAAGATCAGTATATGGACCATATTCATGGCTCAAGGGCTGTTTGCCTATAATTCCCTGCAGGGCTGTGGTGGAGGCTGTGCATCGACTTGACCTCATCCTTTGCAACAAAACCGCTTATCAAGAAGTGTTCAAACCGGAGAACATTAGCCTGAGGAACAAGTAAGCTGAGACTCTATAAACTATACATCCTTAGAGTTTCTGTTTTCCTTTCCACCTGAAACCCTGTCATATACAGACATGTTCTCTCTTATCTCCTGACTTCATGGTACATAAATGGTCTGTGACATCTCTGGCCTTCCTAAGAGGGAGAGGGGATGCCTCACTTTCTGCAGCTTCTATATCTAACAGACTGGTGCCATTAGAATGGTGTTTGAGTTAGGGGAGTTGACTGTACTGCATAAGGAAGGAAAGAAAGAAGAGATACAGAGGCCAAGTAGAAAGGAGAGCACGGTGCAGGGGAAGAAAATGAAGATTGTTAAGATTCTTACTGCTCCTACCTGTATCTTTTGGGGCTCCACTGCCTTCTAGGACTGCTTGTCTTGTGTCCTGCTGAGTGAGCCTGGATGTCTAATGGGAGGCACAAACGTTTGTCAGTTGGAGTGTTGGCAGGTGCCTTCTTGCCCTCAATTCTTGTGTCCCCCACCAAGGGATGGCCAGTCCCTCTCATGCTTCTCCATATCCTCATAGGCTGCGTGAGCTCTGCGTCAAGCTTATGTTCCTGCACCCGGTGGACTATGGGAGGAAGGCTGAGGAGCTGCTGTGGAGAAAGGTATATTACGAAGTTATCCAGCTTATCAAGACTAACAAAAAGGTAAGTGGAGGGCTTCTCTGGTGGCTCAGTCAGTAAATAATCCGCCTGCAATGCAGGAGACCTGGGTTGGATCCCTGAGTTGGGAAGAGTCCCCCTGGAGAAAGGAATGGCTACCGACTCCAGTATTCTGGCCTGGAGAATTCCATGAACAGAGGAGTCTGGCAGACTACAGTCCGTGGGGTCACAAAGAGTCAGACACAATTGAGCAACTTTTGCTTTTCAAGAGGAGGTCTTAGAGCTTGGAAAGAAGTTTGTCTAAAGAGGGGAAGCTAAGGAACAAAAGACAGCTAGACAAGAGGCCCAGAGCATGGCTGTAGGTGGGGATATCAAGGAAGAGATAGAAAGGAGGGAGGGAGTCATATAGAATTAGGATTAGGAGAGAAGGGGACCCTGACCCCAGGTGGGGAGACCAGAGAATGAGATCTAAGGGTATAGGGGTGACTCATGAGTAAGAGGAGAGGTGGATAAAGTTCCAGACTTTATCCAGTTTCCAGAGCCAAAAAGATAAGTTTATTTCTTCAGTGAGATAAAAATGATTAGGGACAGGGGAGCAGAACTCTGATCTTGCTGCTTAACTGGCCCCTTCTTTTTCCCAATCTCCAGCATATCCACAGCCGGAGTACCTTGGAATGTGCCTACAGGACACACCTGGTTGCTGGTATTGGCTTCTACCAGCATCTCCTTCTCTATATCCAGTCTCACTACCAGCTGGAACTGCAATGCTGCATCGACTGGACCCATGTCACCGACCCCCTCATAGGTCAGTGAAATCTGAAAGGTGGGCTGGAGGAGCAAGTTGGTTTGTTTTTACTTTGGCCTTCTTATCCCTCAGTATCTATGTACCTTGTGACCCAGCCAGGCTGTGAGGATTCTAGAAGACATACACATGCTTCATGAGATTTGGATTTAACCAAATAAGCATATGAGTTGGGGTAAAGATCTTAAGGAAAGAGAGAGGCCTCTTTAGTTTGGGGTTGTAGACCGATGTAGAGCCAGGGGGAGGCATGGAATGATCTAGAGAAAGTCTGGCACTGGAAGATGATACTGATAGCATTTTTTTTCCTCCCAGATGGATTTGACTGGCACTTTCTTTTAACTTTAGAGATTGTTTCCTAGTATTTGATGAAAGTATTACAGTTTTTAGAAATATTGGGAGAATCATGGACATTCTTTCAAGATAGTGCAAATCTCTTTGATTTTCTGAGGTACTGGAGCTATGGTTTACCTCCTTCTCTAGTTGGTGGTTTTCTCTTCAGTTTGACTGTCCTTTGGCACTCCTTCCCTCTTCCCTCTTCCTCCAACTCCCCTTGCTCTTCATACCCCTTGCCCTCCCCCAGCCCCCTGCCCCTCCCCTCACCAGCAGAAAGACATTCTGGGTCAGAGATGGAGGTTATGTCTGTGCCACTGTGTGGCAGCATTCTCTGCTCAGAAGACACTCTATTTCATCCATTTGAAACACTTAAGAACAAAACAATGGGGGGGGTTCCCTGGTGGTCTAGAGGTAAGGACTCGGCACTGTCACTGCCGGGACCCTGATTTCCATTTCTGGTCGGGGAACTGAGATCCTGCAAGCTGCACGGCCAAAAATAAAGCAATGTTAATCCAAGGCAGAATTCATAAGTGTCATATGAGATTGCCAGGAGGGTCCATAGCTTAAACGAAGATGACGAACCCTTATTTCAAAGAATTAATTCCCCAAACAACTTTATCTCTTTATAGATATTTCTCATTCAGCCAACTCAGCAACGTCTCTATAGTAAATATTAGGAAGGGCTTCTCAGAATGGGAGGTGCATACCTAGGAGAGTGTCTACAAAATGGAGGGGATAAGTAGATGGTCTCTGGAGCCAGATTGTCATTTGGAGCCCAACTCTGTCACTTACCTGTTATGCGACTTTGATTTCTTCAACTGTGAAATGGAAGTAATAAGAGTAACTACCCCTTGGGGTTGCTTTGAGGATCACTTCAGTTATCCTTGTGATACACTCAGATCAGTACCTACCCCATCGGAGAATTGCCTTCCAAATAGCTGAAGTTCTTTGAAGTTCCAGGGCTGCCTGGGTAAAGGCAGAGGTGAGAGCCCAGGCGTCTGTGGCTCTGGCCTCCACCTGTCCTCAGGTCAGACAAGTCTCCTCCATGGACAGGCTTTTCAACAGGCTGCCTTTTCCGTGACCTCCGCCACCAGGCAGAAGCCAGGAGCATTTCCTTTGGCCTCATCCATATGCCATTCTTCCTGGGCAAGTTTCCCATCTTCACCTTTTACCTTTAGGTGGGGAGTGGCTCCCCAAGGCAGCCACAACTGTACTTACACTTGACTTTACCTCCTTTTCCTTTTTAGTGACCTTCCTGTGATGACCTTTCACATGATGTTTCCCCAGGCAGCTGTCCTAGGTTGAAGACCCTAGACCATCTCTTCCAGTTCCTTCCTGTCCTGTGAATGACTCCTACTTATGAGCCTCTGTGTCCCTACCTCTGTCCACCTGTGAGCCTGTGTCTTGGATGGGCATCATCTCTGCCCCATAAGGCCGGGTTCCAAAACTAGACCTGGATTCTTGATCTCCATTCTCCACCTAGGAAAGATGTTTTCCAGAGGTAAGGTCAGAGGAATGGGCTTATAAACCTCTCTCTCTCTCTTTCTCAGGATGCAAGAAGCCGGTGTCTGCCTCAGGGAAGGAGATGGACTGGGCACAGATGGCATGCCACCGATGTCTGGTGTACCTGGGGGACTTGTGTAAGAATCAGAACCTTTCATTTTTCTCTGTTTTGGGCTCCAGGACAGGCTCCAGCCATTCCAATTGTTGGTATCACCCTTTAGGTGACTGGAGGGCAGGAGGAGGAGTTTGGGCTGTGGTGACTTTTTCCCTCCAGTCTGTTTAGTGTTTCCTTCTCTTCACTATTCTTCCATGAGTCAAAAAGGATGAGTGAATGCAAGAAGGGGAAAATGTCTTTGTGCTTTAAGAAAGTCAGGGTGATAACCTGGTTTTAGTAGTAAGTTCGGAAGGTTTTAATTTGATGTCTTTCTGTTTTGGAGTTTTCTTTTCTCTTCATTGATTCCTAGGGGAATTGCGGTTAGACCTCAGGGAGGACTTACCTACCTGAAGTATGTATCTCAGAATGGAAAAGGACTCTTGCTTTATGCCCCCTGAGTCGCTAATCCTGATATACAAAGATCTCTAGTCCTGTTGGGCTCCTGGTGTGTGGCTTTTGGATGCATTATCTATAATTGACCTGAGGTGCCTCTCCCTGCCCTTATCCCACTCCTGGACCCTTTACAGGCAGGGGGCACAGGGAGAATTAGGTGCTAGAGAGTCCATCTGACCGTGCAGGAGATACAAGAGACCTGGATTCAGTCCTTGTGTCGAGAAGGGAGGAGGAAATGGCAACCCACTCCAGTATTCTTTTCTGGACAGTTCCATGGACAGAGAAGCCTGGTGGGCTGTAGTCCATAGGGTTGAAAAAAGTCGAACATGAGTGAGCAGATGCAGGCGCGCGTGCGCGCACACACACACACAGAATCAGCTGTTTCACAGTAGATTGACCTAGTGTCATTAGTCATGTCTTCTCTCTAGAACTGAACAGTTGAATTCCAGAACCAAATATCAGAAGTCATTTCAAGCATTAATACATGCTGTAGCTCCCCTTCATTGGGAAGAGATAATCAAGAAGAGCCTCTTTACAAACACTAAATATTCTTTACATTTTGGACCTACCAGCAAGGAAGAGAGAGTTGAACAATTTGCTAGTCATGTAGACTTCAGCTGGCCAGAGACCCAGACAAGCCTGCCTTCTAGCTCAGGTATCTTCCTCCCAGGCTCCTATTACAGCTCTCTAGAGTGGACTTTGAGATGAGGGGAGGTATTTTCTGAAGCATGGCATTACTGTATTTCTTTTTTTCCTCTCCCTCTTACAGCACGTTATCAGAATGAACTAGCTGGTGTAGACACTGAGCTTCTAGCTGAGAGATTTTACTACCAAGCCCTGTCAGTTGCTCCTCAGATTGGTAAGTGGACCCCCCACTGGGGCCTCCCAACCCAGCAGCATTTTCTAAGCGGAAAACGATGTTGAGATGGCAGGCAGGCACACTCACTTCCCCCTGGGTCCTCCTCACCCTCAGTTCTTTAATACTTCACTTTGGTTCTGAATTCTTTCCCAAGTAATGCACACTCAGAAGATGGTGGAAGAAGAGGAGAAATGGGAGAGTCTTGAACTAAGAGGGAGGGAGGCAGAAAAGAAGGGAAAGAAGATGGCTTCCTCATCTCTGGTGTCTCTGTAGAGAGAGGAGACTGTGCTTCAGCTGCCACTGTGGAGGCACAGTGAGGGAAGAGATGAGGCTAAATTACAGGAAGAGATGGGGATTAGCATGTCAGAAGGAGAATTCAGAGGTAAGAGACTGAGCTGAGATGAGAGGGTTCCAGGAGAGCCACAGCTGCTGTTGAAGGGTGGCACCCATCAGTGCTGAAGCCCTGAGGGCCAGGTGGGATTAGACTGATAGGACGGGAGTCTGGAATCCATAACCTCCTGGAGGAACAAGATTAACTGCTGATCACCTGAGAGACTGGTGTCTCCTGCAGAGCCACTGTTGTCCACATGAGTTCTCTGATGCTCCGCGTGGGTTGGGCTGGCAGCTTGTGAGTGCTGTGGCCACAGACTGTGTGACTCCTCTTTCTCTCCAGGAATGCCCTTCAACCAGCTGGGCACCCTTGCAGGCAGCAAGTACTATAATGTGGAAGCCATGTACTGCTACCTGCGCTGGTGAGTATTTGCAGCTCTTACCAGCTTTCGCATCTGCACGGTTCCTGCTTGCTTTTCTCTCTATGCTCGTCCTTCTCTAGCTCCCGGGAAAGATAGATAGAATGGTAGGATTGAGGGAGCCCCTCCTCAGGGACCCTGCATCCTGCCAGCCCTGCTGCTTTTCACACAGCCACCTGGATTTGTGGGTACTTGGGCAGCTAATGGAGCTGTCTGCTATCATGAAAGCTAACAGGATTGCTGCCTTCCTGAAGAAGGAGATAAATTGGATATAATTGGTAAAATCATACCAAAGTAACCTCTGACAAGAACTTCAAAATTGTAGAGCTTCAGTGTCTTGAAGTGATAGGGATGACAGACAGCATGGGGGGATCAGTTTAGCAGGGTGGATTACTGCTTACCTGGATCTCATTCTTATTTCTTAGAATCAAACAACAACAACAAAACACAATTTTTTCAGGGCACCCAAAGTTGGTTAAACTTAGTTTACTAAGTCACCATAACCAAATGCACCTGAGACTGATAGGTAAATGAGAAAGCCTTTGATTAAATTTTAGTGAGACATAAACTGCCAGGAAACTCACTGTTGCCACCTTATCAGGGCCAAAGTCTACTTGAGAAGCCAAATCATTCTCAGTAGTTACATAGTGAATTGGCTTTCAAAGCCCAAAGGGAGTAAGGTGCTCTTATAGCTTAAATGATCAACTACACTATAATACCTATTATAAACTATAATACCTAATTCTGCCGCAGAATTCCAACCTGTGGTCCTTGGTTCACCTGGTCAAGGAAACATACTTCCAGTATCAACAAATATTTGCCCTTATCTAGATCAGTACAGATTGGCCTCCCATCCACTGTATTATTGTTTTTTTTTTAAATGAAGTATAGTTGATGTACAATGTTGCACTAATTTCTGCTGTACAACAAAGTGAATCGGTTATATATATCTTTTCAAAAATTTTATTTTTGGTTGCTCTGGGTCTTTGTTGCCACGTGCAGGCTTTCCCTAGTTGCAGTCCTGGACTGTTCATTGCGGTGGCTTCTCCGGTTGTGGAGTACAGGCTCTCGGTGCATGGGCTTGAGTAGTTGCCGCATGTGGGCTCAGTAGGTGTGACTCTTGGACCCTAGAGTGTGAGCTTCAGTAGTTGGGGCTCACAGGCTCTAAGGTGTGTGGGCTCAGTAGTTGTGGCACAAGGGCATAGTTGCTCTGTAGCATGTGGAATCTTCCTGGACCAGGGATCAAACCCCGCATCCTCTGCATTGGCAGGCAGATTACTATCCACTGTACTACCAGGGAAGTCCTATACATTCTTTCTTTTTTTTTTTTTAACCAAGGAAATATACATTCTTTCTTATAGTCTTTTCCATTACGGTTTATCACAGGATGGATATTGAATGTAGTTGCCTGTGCTATACAGTAAAACCTTGTTGTTTATTCATTCTACATATAATAGTTTGCATCTGCTAACCCTAAACTCCCAATCCATCCCTCCCTACCTTGCCCTTGGCAACCATAATTCTGTTCTCTAGGTCTGTGAGTCTGTTTCTTTTTCATAGATAAGTTCATTTGTGGCATATTTTAGATTCCACATATAGGTGATTCATATGGTATTTGTCTTTTTCTGACTTACTTCACTTAGTATGATAATCTCTAGTTCCATCCATGTTGCTACAAATGGCATTATTTCATTCTTTTTTTTATGACTGAGTAGTAGTCTGTTACATAGTATAATATATGTGTGCCATATCTTTATTCATTCATCTGTAGATGGATATTTAAGTTGTTTCCATGACTTGGCTGTTGTAAATAGTGCTGGTACGGTACTAGTGGTAAAAAATCCACCTGCCAATGAAGGAGAAGTAAGAGGTGTGGGTTTGATCCCTGGATCAAGAAGATACCCTGAAGAAAGACATGACAACCCACTCCAGTATTCTTGCGTTTTTTTTGGTGAATCCAATGGACAGAGGAACCTGACAGACTACAGTGCATAGGGTTCCAAAGCGTTGAACACAGCAAAACAACTTAGTATGCACACACACGAACATAGGGGTACATGTATCTATTTGAATTATTGTTTTGTCTGGGTATACACCCAGGAGTGGGAATGCAGGATCATAAGGCAACTCTATTTTTAGTTTTTTGAGGACCCTCCATACTGTTTTCCATAACAGCTGTACCAGTTTACATTTCCACCAACAGTGTAACAGGGTTAGCTTTTCTCCATCTCCCACATTTATTGTTTGTGTATTTATTCTTGCATATAATTACCAGGTTTCTGCCCTCCCGTTGCATCTTTCCCATTCCTTGTATGCCTTCCAGGGAATGCCCCCCTTAATTGTCCTGGATCCCGTATCACATTCATAATTAGGATTTAGCGGGAGTCACTTGCAAAGAGCCAAATACATCCAGGTTTGGGAGGTGCCCACTGAGGCCCTCTACTGTGCTTAAACAGTTACGTCTCATGTTTTGTGGGCTAGGCATTTGCCTCGGGCTCAGTCTGGCAGTCTTCCTCCTGGTGGCAGTGTCTAGGGTCAAGCAGTGGTATTCGGCTGGTCTGATGTCTGATATGTCTGGAGAATTGGTTTATCTGGACCCATTTCCCTCTCCTTTTAGTCTTGGGGCCTCTCCATGTGGTATCTTCCTCAAGGTAGATTTACTTCTTACATATTTGGCTCAGGACTCCCAACAGCAAATAATGATCTAAGAAACTTGAAACTAGGGTCTGCCAATCTCTTACGGCCTGGGCCTGGAAACTGGTGGAGTCACTCCTACAATATTTTCTTGGTCAAAGCTTTTCAATAGTTGTTGTCTCCCACCCCGACCCCCTGCCAAGATTTAAAGGAAGGTGACATAGAACCCACTTCTCAGTGGAAGGAATATCAAAAATTTATAGCTATATTTAATTCACCTCTAACATGTATTTCTTCTTTTTCTATATCTTGCTTTTTATAGTTAAAAGATGTTTCAGGGACTTCCCTGGTGGTCCAGTGACCCAGAATCGATCTCTGTTTGGGGAACTAAGATCCCACATGCTGTGGGGCATGACCAGAGGAAAAAAAATAATAAAAATTTTTAAAAGACATTTCAAAAAAGTATAGCATGCTGTTAGTCTTTGTGGTAGGGCAGACTGGGGTTGGAGATTCAGCTGTACTATGTTTAGCTGTGTGACCTTTGCATTATACTCGATCTCTCTGGCTTCATTCCCTTGTCTATAAATGTGGGCAGTAGTAGGGTACAGTGCCTGACAGAGTGGGGTGCTCAGTACATATTTTCATTTGAATGAATATTGTGAAGATTAACGAAAATGGTATATGTAAATATCCTTAATGCTTGTTAAATGCTACCCATTAAGTGCTCTGCTTTTAAAAAGATGAAAAATAGTGTATTTCAGCGATGGTAACTAAGTTATGTTTGTAACATTGAATGGGATTAATTGTTCCATATCTGGATGCAGAGGAGATACAGATGTCATCATTACTCTGATTAATCTGAAAGTTGTATGTGTGTGTTTTTACCTGGAAAGATAGTTTTCACCCTCAGTCTGTACGTGGAAGTGGCGGCTGGGGGCAGCCTGTATTTACTAGAAACAGTGCTCCTGGGACATCCTTGATGGTCCAGTGGCTGAGACTCCACACTCCCAATGCAGGGGGTCCGGGTTCAATCCCTGGTTGGGCAACTAGATTTCACATGCCAGAACTAAGACCTGGAGCAGCCAAGTACATAAATAAATATTTAAAAAAAGAAAAACAGTGCTTTCTAAATCTCTGGAAGACTGACATTTCCAGTCTCCTCCTCTGCCAAGACTCAGTAGCTCACCTCTGTCTCCTTCAGCATCCAGTCGGAAGTGTCCTTTGAGGGGGCCTATGGAAACCTCAAGCGGCTGTATGACAAGGCAGCGAAAATGTACCACCAGCTGAAGAAGTGTGAGACTCGGAAACTCTCTCCCAGCAAGAAGCGGTGAGTGGGGCCTATGGGAAGAGGGGGTCTTCCTGCAGTTGGTACAGTAGGACTACAGGGACTCCGGAGCTGTTTGCCATCTACCTTGGGCTCCTCTCATTTCAGATGTAAAGACATTAAGAGGTTGCTGGTGAACTTTATGTATCTGCAAAGCCTCCTGCAGCCCAAAAGCAGGTGAGTAGAAGAGAGTGTGAGCAAGAACTCTGTCCTGGGACAGGCTCCTTTATGGCAGGGGACTTGGAGAGGAGGGCGTGGGCTGGTGAGTTCTGTCTCTCGATTGGAAATTCTCTAGCTGGCTAGTCCTTCCTCGGCATCCCTCGCTGTCTCACCCTAGGTTCCATGCCCATTCTCTGGGTGGCCCACCCTCTGGCAGATTGGGCGCTTACTGGAAGTTGAAGGAATGGCCGAATGGGAAGCCCACCCACATCCCTTCCACTGTATGTCTGCCCTTCCCATGTTACTCTGTCTGCTTTAGAGATCAGCCAGCACTGAGTCCCCCTCCTCCTCTCTGAAGTCTCCCTTGTAGGATCCCATAGTCTTTTCTCTGAATCCTGTATTCCCAGCTCTTTGTACCTGCCCCAGCCCCCATCACTGACCTCCCATTACTCCTGCCCTTTCACAGCTCCGTGGACTCAGAGCTGACGTCACTTTGCCAATCAGTCCTGGAGGACTTCAACCTCTGTCTCTTCTACCTGCCCTCCTCACCCAACCTCAGCCTGGCCAGTGAGGATGAGGAGGAGTATGAGAGTGGATATGCTTTCCTCCCGGACCTTCTCATCTTTCAAATGGTCATCATCTGCCTTATGGGGGTGCACAGCTTGAAGAGAGCAGGTAACTCTCCTGTGTCCCTCTTTTCTCTCCCACTGGCTTCGGGGATCCTCACTACCCTTTTCTGCAGCTTCTTATCCATAAAGTTGCTTCCATGCGTAGTCCCTTCAGTACCTATGTCACTGCCTGGCTGTAGGAGAGAGCCCTGAAGGAGCTCCTAGTGAACAAACAATATGCACCAGCATATTCCCATGCCCTCCACCCTCCCACACCCACAGATACACACACCCTTGTCTGGGACCAAGGCAGACAGAGTGGTTGAGATGCTTAACTGTGGATCCAGATGGAATTCAGACTTGGTGGCAGTGGGGGTGGGGGCAGTTAGTTTCTGCCAGAGGTATATGTAGAGCAAGGTCGGATGGAAGGGAGGGAGAGACAGGACTGGGTGTGAATATGCTTGGGGAGTGGGGAGGGGCCTGTGTGAAAGCATCAGCTGGGGAGGATGAGGTGGGACAAGAGGAAGCAGGATGAGCTGGCACATTCCACATTACAGGATGAGAGTGCAGAGACCTGAGAAATCTTTTTTTACCTTAGAGAAAATTTTTAGAGGTAATTAAATCCTTGGGAGGGTTGAGAACAGGTGAGGAGATGAGGTTGGAGTTCATGGTGCTTCCTACTCTTCGGGGCCCTGAGCCCCTAACACTGGCTTTCCTGGGTTTAGGATCCAAGCAGTACAGTGCAGCCATTGCCTTCACCCTGGCCCTCTTCTCCCACCTCGTCAATCACGTCAACATCCGGCTGCAAGCTGAGCTGGAAGAGGGCGAGAATCCCGTCCCAGCATTCCAGAGCGATGGCACAGGTGCAGGGATGGGGGAGGTTGTGTCTGTGGAAAGGTTAGCATGGGGCGTGGGGATGACAGGAGGGGAACATAGGCGCGGCAGAGGTTGGGGGGGCTGTCAAAGAGCACCTGTCAGTGTCCCAGTGCTGACCGACCTCTCTCCACAGATGAGCCAGAGTCCAAGGAAACCTTGGAGAAGGAGGAGGAGCCGGGTCCTGAGCCCCCTCCTGTAGTGCCTCCAGAGGGTGAGGTCAGAAAGAGTCGGAAGTTCTCCCGCCTCTCCTGCCTCCGCCGCCGCCGCCACCCACCCAAAGCAGGTGATGACAGTGACCTGAGCGAAGGCTTTGACTCGGACTCAAGCCATGACTCGACCCGGGCCAGTGAGGGCTCAGACAGTGGCTCCGACAAGAGTCTTGAAGGTGGGGGAACAGCCTTTGACGCTGAGACAGATTCAGAAATGAACAGTCAAGAGTCCCGATCAGACCTGGAAGATATGGAGGATGAGGACGGGACACGGTCCCCAGCCCTGGAGCCATCTCGGGCCAGGTCAGAAGCTCCTGAATCCCTCAATGGCCCTCTGGGCCCCAGCGAGGCCAGCATTGCTAGCAATCTACAAGCCATGTCCACCCAGATGTTCCAGACCAAACGCTGCTTCCGACTGGCCCCCACCTTCAGCAACCTGCTTCTCCAGCCCACCACTGAAGCGCCCACCTCGACCAGCCTCAGGCGCTGTGTCAATGGAGATGTGGACAAGCCGTCAGAGCCAGGTACATGGGCCTCTCTCCTTCGTCCTGCTCTGGTCCACACCTGTGCTGTCAGCATTCACTTGAGAGAGGCTGCTCTTCTCTCTGAGCACTTCTCATGCCTACCCTTGCTGCCTTGCTTCTGGCCTCTGCCCATAGTGTGGCCCAGGAGCTTGTTCCTGGGGATCCCCTCTCCTGCTCACTTCCTCCTTCTCAGCTCCCAGCTGATTTTGTGGTTGTATTCTCCTCCCACTCCCACTTTGCCCTATGGGTTTGGGGCTTTCCTCCCCACACAACACTGTAGCAATAACTTTTCCCGTGGTGCCTCAGGTCCTGCCAGGGCTCCTGGAAACTAGAAAAACCAGCACCCACTAGTAGGGCAGGTGGATTAGAACAGGACATTTCTCCTGAGGACCTTCCCCTGAGGTGCAGAGGGAACACCTGGTCAGCAGCAGCAAGCATTTGTGGCTTGGACACTGTGTCAAGCACTAGGCTGCACTTTTAGGGTCTTGTCTTATTTAACTTTCATGGCAGTCTTTTTTTCTTACAAGTTTTTTGTTGTTGTTGTTTTGTTTTTTAATTTTTTTGGCCACATCTTGTGACGTGTGATCTTAGTTCCCTGGCCAAGGATTGAACCCGTGCCTCCTACATTGGAAACACCGAGTCTTTACCACTGGACCCCCAGGGAAGTTCCCACGGCAGTCTTGTGGTGGAAGAATCATCACCCCTGTTCTAAATGCTGTCCTGCTAAGCTTCTGTGCAGTGCTCCTTTATCCTGGAACATACTTTCCCTCCCTTGCTCTGAGTGTGTTGCTTGGCTATTCTCACTTGACCTCTAGATTTTGGCTTATAAGTCACTTGGTCTGGGAGTCCTCCAAGGGTCGGCTTCCTGTGGTCTCCTGTAGCTTCTATACCTCCGCAGGTTCCAGCCCTTTCCCATTTGAGTGATGATGTCCGTTGGCTTGTATGTGTGCCCACCAGTGCCATGAGCCTCTTGAGGGCAGGGCAGTCCATGTTTTGTCTGTTGCTGTATCCCTATTACCAAACGCAGGGCTTGGCACAGGGCTGGGACTTAGGAAATACTGAATGAGTGAAAGAAATGAGGAAACTGGTGCTCAGAGGTGGAGTGTGACCTGCGTAGTGTTCTAACCTGCAGGCTTGAAGAGCTGGGAGCTGGCAGTAGTTTTAAATTCTGTACCCTTTTTCACCCTACCCGTAGCTCCTTTCTGACTGTCTGCCCTGCCTTTCGCACAGAATGAGCACATGACAGATGTCAGTTGAGTGAGTAGCTGTAGACCTCGCAGGTTAGCTCGTGTTTTAAAAGGTACCAGGCTCTTGCTTAAAAGCGGTCAGTCAGTGGACCTAGAGAAGTCGGGCCGGAATCTCATTCCTCTTTTCGCATCAGAATTCTTCAAAAGAGTCCAGGCAGGTGGGGGCACGCTCCTCTCAGAGAGCCGAAGTCTGTTGCCGTGTGTCTACCAGTTGCTCATCCCAGTTATCTGTCTCCCACTCCCAGCCTCTGAAGAGGGCTCGGAGTCGGAGGGAAGTGAGTCCAGTGGGCGCTCCTTTCGGAATGAGCGGAGCATCCAGGAGAAGCTGCAGGTCTTGATGGCCGAAGGCCTGCTCCCTGCTGTGAAAGTCTTCCTGGACTGGCTGCGGACCAACCCCGACCTCATCATTGTGTGTGCGCAGGTGCGTCCCTCCACACCCACTGCCCTCTTTAGCTCCCAGGGTGTGAGGGGAGGGCTGGGCCAGCTGCGATGGGGTATGGGAATCCCCTCAGCTGGGCTGGGCAAGACAAAATTTATTGTCAAGCACGGGTTGTATGCTGGCTCCTAATGCTTTTTACAGGCAAGGCTTAGGCATGGCCTTTGCCCTCAAAGAGCCTGTGGCCTTGGCTGGGATATAATCCTGTGGACTGGGAAAGTGAGAGAGCTGCTTATTTGGCTTTGTGTCCCCAGCGATAGGCATAATGCCGGCTATAGCGAGTAATGTTGATGAAAATATATGTTCAAGGGCTAACCTTGGTAGGTAAACATCGGCACCCAGAGAAACGAGAGGGCACAGCATGGTGACGAGAGATGGGACTGGGCAGTGACAGCGTGCACAGACAAGGTACAGCTGTTATGGGCAGGGAAATGGCTCAGAGAGAGCTCTGCAGCTGGAGTGAGCAGTGTCAGAGGTGGGCTCCCACGGAGGCTGGCTGGGTTGATGGCGGCCTTCTCCTTCCCATCTCAGGTTCAGAGTCTTCATATCAAGCCTCTGGTGTTCTGAGGCTTTTCCTCGGTGCTGTGGAAGACCCTTTCCCTGTCAGTCACCCTCTTCCCTGGAAGAGAGTTAGGTCAGGGCCAGGCACAGCCTGGGGCGTGTGCTTGTGCCTGGCAACAGCTCCTTAGTCACTGTTAGTCATCGAGGGCGGTGCAGTGAAGATGGCGGTGCAGGCTGCAGCCCCAGAGAGGTGGCCCAGCGTGTGCACCTGGAGGGCTGAAAGGAGAAGTCTGTGCTAGACAGGGAGACACTTCCAGCGCTCTAACTTTTTCCACTGTCAAGAACCAGAGAGTTCTTTCTGTGGTTTCACACCTTCCCTTTTCATGAAGCCTTCAATTGGTGATAAAGTTCATTGAAGCTTCAGGGTTCCCCTTCTTCATTCCTCCCTGTTTTCCAAGTCCTCTGTAAGCCCCCCTTTTGTTAATATTTTTTTAATGCTTCTAGGCATGTGACCATAGCCCCAGACCTCCCAAATCTAGTGGTTTTCTTGTTCACTGCCAGTCTCCAGCACTGCCCCAGCTAAAGACTTCCTCTTCTGTCTCTCTCTCAAGAGCTCTCAAAGTCTGTGGAACCGCCTGTCTGTGTTGCTGAATCTGTTGCCAGCTGCCAGTGAACTTCAAGAATCTGGTGAGTGAGTCCCTGGCACTGCCCTCCTTCCCCTCTCCCTCACTGGCCCACAACCCCCACCCCCACCCCCCATCCTGGTAACCTGGCACTTAGGGTAAAGAGGTTAATGCGATTCACTGTGTCACTTGCCTAACACACAGCAGTCATTGTGGTCTGGGCTTCTCTCGTTTCCTGCCCCGACACTGCTCCACCGAGGGCAGGAGGCCTGGGCCCCCGGGGAGTGTGCTTGCTGAGCGGTCCTCTGGCCCTTCCAGTTCTGGTCTCCTAAAGCTCTGCCTGACAGCCCCGTGGACCGTCTGTCCTTTCCCCCCGCATCTCTCCCCACCTTCTGTCCGCGGAGTGTGTCCTACCTGGGAGTTCCCAGAGGGAAGCTCTGTGTCCCTCTGACTGGGGGCTCCCACAGAGCAGGGCTTTCACGGTCCTCTTTTCTCCCCAGGCCTGGCCCTGTGTCCTGAGGTCCAGGAGCTTCTTGAAGGTTGTGAACTGCCTGACCTCCCATCTAGCCTGCTGCTCCCAGAGGACATGGCACTTCGCAACCTGCCTCCCCTCCGGGCGGCCCACAGACGCTTTAACTTTGACACAGATCGGCTCTTGCTCAGCACCTTAGAGGAGGTGAGGCAGTCATCCCTCACTCCACAGGCTTTGTTTTTGAAGACTCGGCAGCAGGGCAGGAGCTCTGGCTGGGGGCGGGGGTGGGGGCAGGCTGGCACCCCCTCCGTCCAGACACGGGGCGTGTCCCTGGCTGCAGCTTTGTCACTCAGTGAGCCGTTTGGGCTTGCTGTCGTTCTTGGCAGGATGTCCATCCACAGTGTCTCCCTTTGTAGAACAAGCCACCTTCCCCTTTCCCCACCTTTTGGAGAGGACAGAACAAGTAAATTATTAGGGCTTTAAAATCTCTATTGATCTCTTTTTTCTTCTGAACCCAGCCTACTCTAAGCTGACCAGCAAACAGGGAAAGTTGGAGCTGGAAGGAATGTGCTGTCCGTTTAGTCCAGTGACTTTCACCCTTGAATCTGTGTCACTACATAGGCCATTTGGGGGCAGCAGAGGGAAGCCAAGTGGCCTGGTGTGCCAGCAACACGCACAGAGGCGCGCACGCACACACACACACACACACTGCACACACCCCCCCCCCTTTGGTTTCTCCTTCTCCAGCCAGAGCAGGTTGGCTTTATACTCTGTTTTATATTTTAGCACTCTAGATGAGATTTTTGTTTGATTGGGAAAGAAGGGTTTTGCTGACCAAAAGCATAAGTTGGAAATGGTCATCTAGTTTGTCCTCTCATTGTACACGTTAGGATTGAGCCCTAGAGGAGAGAGATGGCGTGAGAACCCAGGTCTCGTGTCTCCCGGCACGTGGCCTTATCTCTCTTCTCAGCCCTGAGTGCTGCTTCTCCAGTCCCTCTGAGGCTCCTCCCCTACGTGGTCACTCTCCTCCTGGTAGCTACAGGCTCTGGGCCCCGGTGCTCTTCTCCCTCCACACCCCAGGCCTTTGCAGGGAGCCCATGTTGCTGAGGGGGCTGGCCTGGCGGAGGGCGGGGAGGAGCCCTGGTGGGGCAGGTGAGCCTGGAGGACGCTGCTCAGCCAGGCTGGCTCCCATATCTCCACAGACAGTCGTGCGTATCTGCTGCATACGCAGCTTTGGCCACTTTGTTGCCCGTCTGCAAGGCAGCATCCTGCAGTTCAACGCAGAGGTCGGCATCTTTGTCAGCATCGCCCAGTCCGAGCAGGAGAGCCTGCTGCAGCAGGCCCAGGCCCAGTTCCGCATGGTGAGTCAGGCTGCCCCTCCCCGTCCGCTCTGCTCCCCCGGGCTCACTGAGAAACTACGGTCAGAGGCGCAGACATGCTGTGGCCTTGACTGAAGGACCTGGTCACGGGGGCCCGGGCAGCGGAGAAGGAGCCTAGGGAGACCAGAGGGCAGCGAGGGAGCTAAGGGCAGATAGGGCTTGAGGTGCTTTGAGCAGGGGCAGCCTGGCACCGCCGCTGTATCTAGACTGGGGATTGAGGGCCATTTCTGTCACCTCCTAGTCTGAATTGAGCAAGTCACTTAACCTTGCTAAACCTGTTTCCTCATCAGTTACGTAGGAATTGTAGAATCAGCTTTAGGGGGTTGTTGTGACTAAGGCATGGTAGTGAATGTCAGGCACTTTGCATGTTGTATTATGGAGTGTGTGTGCTCAGCAAATGCTCCTTGACTAAGGTTCCTGCATCAAACACCATGTAGGAACCTCCCATCCCACAAGAGCCCCAAAGAGTAGGAGGTGGCCTGTGTGATCTCTTTTCCATTCAGTCATTCATTCTGCAGATACTTCCTGAGAATCTGCTCTGTATCAGTAGCCCAGGCCTGGAAGTTAGAGCTGCAGACGAGACAGGCCTATGTCTTGTGGCGCTAAAGCTTTGTGAGCCGCGATCCGGGTTCTGCAGGGGACCTGCACAGCCCCGGCATGTTGTCTTCCCCCAGCTCAGTGGCCCGGGCACATTTGGGTGGTGGTGTCTGGCACAGGAAACACAGCTCACGTGTCTTGGCAAGCCCAGGAGTTCTTCCTTATCTCAAGCCAGTCACCTCCCCTGTGTTTTTCCTTTCCCCAACCACAGGCTCCCCCACCTCTAGCACCCACTTCCTGCAGATGGGAAGGAGCACTGGCTCCCCAGAAACTCCCTTCCTTGCTGTGTTATAAGCAAGCACATTTTGTTAAAAACTAACCTTTTGTGTTAAAACTTTTATTCCTATTCCATAGGGGAAAACAAGGGGGGTTACAAAAATAATTATGGGGAAGTTACACAGCTTCAGAAGATGTAGAGTGTTTGCAGACATTTCCTTTGGCCTAGAACTCCTGAAGACTCCTCCTGGGGAGCGGGCAATACCTGAGAGCGCCTCTGGTGTGCTGCCGGACACCACAGGCCAGTCTGGAGCCAGGCCACACTGCCTGCTGGGACTGCATCCTGCTCCGCCCACGGCAGGGCTTCCACCCCGAGGGGCTCAGTCCCCAGGGGTGGCAGCAGCGTGCTCCTTGTCATGTTGCCACCTCCCATCATTTATTGAGTTTTCCATGTGCAGAGCTGCTTTGCATGTGACATCTCAGGCGCTTGCATCCTCATTTTATAGGCGAGGAAGCACAAAGTGTCAGAGGGAGGTATGGGCGGCTGAGCCAGGGCCCTGGAATTAGAAAGACCTGGCTCCTGTCCTTGTTCTAAGCTGCTCTGGGAACTCAGCTTCTCCACAGGCCAGGTGGGCCACCAGCCCTGCTCCCCAGGCTCTGGTGTCTGCTGGGGTCAGGGACACCTCTTTCCCCCACGGGCCCGGTCTTCTGCCTCCCTTCTTTCCTTTCTCTGCCAGCGTTTCTCAAAGGGGACACTCTTGATGGGGGTAAGAGGTGGACACTTCCGACCCATAGTATAATGATCAAAACTAAGAAATTAGGATTGGTGCAGTAGTATCAACTACAAGCTTTATTCAGATTTCACTAGTTTTCCTACAGATCTCTTTTTTTTCCTGAGGATCCCACGTTACATTTGATTATTAACGTCTCCTCAGTCTTTGTCTTTTATGATCTTGACACTCCTAAAGAGTACTGGTCAGCCGCTCTGTGCAGTGACCCTCACGCGGCTTTGTCTGGCATCTTCTCATGATCAGGAGGCGGCTTACATCCTGTTTAAAATAGGTTACTATTTAAATCCTCACTCTGATAATGCCAGTTTGTTCATCAAAGAGTCTTTAGTTGCTCCCCATGTCTTCTAGAATAAGTCCCCATTCTTAATTTCATCTTTAGACCATATTCATCTAGAAGACAAAGGAATACCATCACAGGGCTTTTAGTCAGGGCCATGGTGGACCACAGATGGTTTTTGAAAGATTGCCTTGGTTGTCAGTAGAGAAAATGGGTTGGAGGCAGAGAACAGAAAGGAGGTGGTTTTAATAGTCAAGGTGGGGGGTACTGGCTTAGGCCAGGGTTGTGCTTTGAAAATAGAAGGATGCTAAGGGATGTGAGTGACTTTTCTTTTTTTTAAAGGAGGTACAGTCGACAGGACTGGGAGCCTGATAACTTCTGGGGCTGAGAGAGAGGGAGGGAAAAAGTCAAAGCTGGTTAGCTTTCTGACTTGACAGATGGTGGTTTATTTAGCAAGCTGGGGAACATGGGAGGATTAGAAGCAGCTTTAGAGAAGCAGATCGAGCTGTTGAGTAGGCAGTTGGGTATATACATCTCGAACTCAGGAGTGGTCAGGTCTGGGCTGAAGCTGTAGATTTTGGAAGAAGTTTGCAAGTGGATGGTGATAGAAAGTGAAGGGTTGCATGGATGGTGTTCCCTGGGAGTGGGGGCAGAGGTGAGACCAGACAGGTGCTGTCCCCGCCTTTTCTCCCTGGGGGCGTGGGCTGCTAATGGGATGTGTTCAGATTGCACCAGAGTGGTATTTTGTCTCCCACGCCTACCTTCCCCTCACTTAGTGGTAGCGATACAGAGAGTTAACTTATATAAGGCTGTACCTATTTCAGACCCGAGGAATCCCTGTTGGAGTTCTTGATCGCTGGAGAAAGGAATATCCCCCACCTCCTTGTCCCAGGCTTAACACCTGTTTCTTTTCCCCCTTTGTAGGCACAGGAGGAAGCGCGGCGGAACAGGCTGATGAGAGACATGGCCCAGCTACGACTTCAGGTAGGAAGCCAGGGCCCAGCACTGCTGCTGCTTTTGACCCGTTGTCGCTGAAGCCCCGCGTGGCCCCCCACCTCACCTGACTACCCTCACAGCCTCAGAGACTGCCCTCCACCGCTGCCTTGTCTCTGAGCCTCCGTGCTCCCTTTCTGCCTCCACTTCTCTCTTTTCCTTCTCTTCCTCTTAACCCTTGTTCCTGTCTACTTTTCCTCTGAGGCCATTCTTAGGAGATGGCAGCAGGAGTCCCGTAAGAGCCACCTTGAGAAGCATTCTCCCCCCACCAGCCCGCACGCAGCTCCCCCGCTAACCCTGCCTTCTCTCAACAGCTCGAGGTCTCTCAGCTGGAAGGGAGCCTGCAGCAGCCCAAGGCACAGTCAGCAATGTCTCCCTACCTCGTCCCCGACACCCAGGCCCTCTGCCACCACCTCCCTGTCATCCGTCAGCTGGCCACCAGTGGCCGCTTCATCGTCATCATCCCAAGGACAGGTAAGTGTATTGGAGAGGTCGGGGCACAGAGTGTGGCTGAGAGAGAATCTGGCTTGGGATTGAGAGACCCTTACTTGGGCCCAGTTCACACACAGTGGCCTTGGTCAAGTCCAGCCACCTCTCTCAACTTTGGTCATGTCACCTGTGAAGGGGGCATGACCATCTCTGTCAAACACTGACTCACAGGGAGGTTGGGAGAAGCAGGTGAGAAAATCTAAGGGAAAGCAGTTGGTAAATTGCCAAGTGCATTGTTGTCAGGTCAGTCAGACCTTCAGGGCTCCTGTGGGGGCTGCAGTGTGTCCTGGAGCGAGTGCAGGTGCTTCTGCAGAGCCCGCGTCACAGCAGCCGGAGCTCATCTGTTTCGTCCTTCCCCCACCCTCACCATGTCTGCCAGTGATCGATGGCCTGGATTTGCTGAAGAAGGAGCACCCAGGGGCCCGGGATGGGATCCGATATCTGGAGGCAGAGTTTAAAAAAGGGAACAGGTGAGTGCAGGCCTGGCTGGAGCTGTGCTGAGCCCAGGTCAGCACAGATGCCTGTGTGTCCTTGTGTAAGACGCATGTTCGTGGTCCCTGCCCACAGTTGGCTCACGGCCTGGGGAAGGAGGCCAAGGATATAATTATTAGTGAGGGGGTTAGGTGCTGAAATAAACAATGACTGGAGGAGCCAGGAGCCCTGCTGGGGAGCACTGGCCTACTCTCCATCTGCCTGTGGGGCAAACATGAGATCAGTGTCAGTGGGGAGAGGGGAGCAAGCCCCCCAACTCAAGCCATGGGCGCTTTTGCAGGAGTTTCTCCTTTCTTTAGGTGATCAGGTTGACCAGGGGCTTCCCACGGTTCAGGGGGGTGGGGTGGCAGCGTGTAGGTGCTCAGCCCAGCACAGGCCCTTCCTTCTGGCCTTTGGGGCCAGAAGAGGACTAGGCACTGGGTGTTGGGAGGAGGGAGAAAGCTCCCTGCTCTGTGCTGGCTGGCCCACCCTCCTCTGCATCTGCCCTTGCCTGGCCAGGAAGCCACACAAAGCCTTCTTGTTTGGACCTTGTCTCCAGAAGCACTGACTTGAAAAGCATTCGCTGCTTCTCCCCATCCAGCTCCTCCCCAGGGAGGAACCAAAGAAGTGATGTTATCAGGAGGAGGAACAAGCAGGGCTCAGCAGCTGGGGAGCCACTTAGAATGGCTCCAGACGGGCCTGTGACGTAGGAGACGCCCCTTCCCCTCCCTTGACACGGGGTCTCTGCCAAAAGGGCCCACTTTGTGTGAGCTGGGCACCCCCCCCACCCCTGCCCCCGCCACTGCCACTTTCCCGTCTCCCTGCAGGTACATTCGCTGCCAGAGAGAGGCGGGGAAGAGCTTCGAGCGGCATAAGCTGAAGAGGCAGGATGCTGATGCCTGGTAACATTTCCAGCTGCGCCCCTAGAACCCCAGATACGCTGCCCGCCTTGCTCCTCTCTGGGCATGCCCCAGGAGAGAGGGATGGGGCCAGAGTCACAGTCACAGGCAGCAGGACCAGCCTGGGGCCAGGCTCGGCCTGCCAGGTGCCTCTGCAGATCTCACCCTAGAGGGAGTGAGAAGTCACTCCAGCTCTGGAGCCCCTGCGGCCCTGAGATCCTTGGGCTCAGGGCCCTCCCTCACCGTATCTTTGCCTAGTTCCTGGAGCATAGCCTCCAGGCCAGCTTCCAGAAGCCACTGCTCCAAGCTGCCTGATAGCTCTCCTGTCTCCTGGGCCCCTCCTCATCCCAGCTTCCCCTGTGCCCTGGGGATCTGGTATTCAGGTTGCGCTAATGCTGGGACTTAGCCCTCCTCCCTCTCCCCTTCCCGCTCCAGGACGCTCTATAAGATCCTGGACAGCTGCAAACAGCTGACTCTAGCCCAGGGGGCAGGTGAGGAGGACCCGAGTGGCATGGTGACCATCATCACAGGCCTTCCACTGGACAACCCTAGCACGCTCTCAGGCGCTATGCAGGTGGGTCACAGGGTGATGTGCCGGGAAGAGTGGAATGGGGAAGAGGTACCGAAGTTGACTCCCTCAGACCAGGCAGCTGCCCTTTTCCTCTTCCACCACCCTTTCCCCAGCCCCTCAACGACTTGTCCCGTAATTTAGGAGGTCAGGCCCTCCTCCATCTGTCCTTCCCCCAATTCCACAGGCAGCCTTGCAGGCCGCTGTACATGCCAGTGTGGACATCAAGAATGTTCTGGACTTCTACAAGCAGTGGAAGGAGATTGGCTGAGACTGACCCCCAGGCCCTGCAGCGGGGCTGACTCCAGATCTCTCGTGCCCTCCCTGGCAGCCAGGACCACCACCTGTAGTCACCCCACCACACGCAGACTCAAGCACGCACACAGGAAGGAAGCCCAGCTGCACACGGGCTGCAGGGAGGGCCCAGGAGCCAGCTGGGAGGGCGGGGTCCCCCTGTTGCCAAGACGACGTGAGGAAAGCAAGGAAAGTGCTTGGAGCAGGAGAGGCCTGTGGGCGCCCAGCCAGCCTTCCTGCCTCAGCCCCCTGCTTTCCCCAGGGGCAGGTGGCAGGTGCGGGTCTGTTTCATTGGAGTGGTTCTGGACCTCTGAGGGGAAGGGACAGCAGAAGGGGCGCTTTCTCACCCAAGATGCAGGGTGGGTGGTGCCAGGAGTTGGGGCCCTCGGGGCCTGGGGCAGAGTTGGGTAACACCGGGTGTCTGGGTGGTTCTCTGCAGACCCTTCCTCTCCTCAAGGACCACCCGCCCCTCTCATCCCCCTCTGCAGGGACGGGCAGCTCTGGAGCCTTGGGGACTCATAAGGAAGAGGGGCTTGGAGCTGCTGGCACCGAGAGCAGGGCAGGGCTGGGACCCCTCCTGCTGCTACGGGGTCTGCACACCGTTGCCCCGCTCGCTTCCTGCCTCCCCTCTGCTAGCTTCCCGTGCAGGGAGCAGGCCCGCAGCAGTGCAGGCAGTCTGGCCTATATGCCAGGGAGGGCTCCCGTGCTCCCCAGCCCCCGGTCACTGCGCTCTGTGCTCTGGGCTGGGACAGAGTGGGACGCCAGAAAGAGGAGAGGGGGGCCAAGTTTGAGGCCACCACCCTGCTTACTATCGAGGGAGGGGCCTGCACTCAGATGGGCAGCAGGAAGGAGAGGCCCCTTGAAGTGGCCTGGTTGGGTGCCCTCTGCCCTGGTGGGCTTCCCTACTTCTGTCCTTCCCCAGGACTGAAGGCCTGGAGGAGCTGAGCGTGGGGCTAGCTTTGGGAGTGTCAAGGTGAATGTGAGAGCAGAGATCATGAATAGCTCAGGGCAGTGAGTGGAGCCACAGGAGTGGGGCTGCGCGAGGGAGGCTTTGGCCAGGATTGCCTCAGCCCCTCCCACCTCAGGCTGCATACGTAGCGTGGGCTGGGGGCTGAGGGTGGGGGGGTCTCAGCTCTGCTGTTCCCCACCCCAGCGCTAGCCCAGCTTCCCAGGCTGTTCTCAGGGGACAGCAGGCTTCCTGCATCCTTCCTCTAAGAAGGCAAGTCTGGGACAGCCCAGGGGGGGTGGGATCACTCCCACTTCCAGTCCCTGGCAGAGACTTGAGACTAAAGCATCACTTAATAAAGACCCCCTGAAGCCCTCTCTGTCTCCTGGTGCCTTTCTCTAGTTTTATTGGGACATGGGAGAGATTACAGGCTGAAATGGCAGTTTGGAAAGGTTTCTTTGATGTGGCCCAGTTGAAGCAAGAAACCAGCAATTGAAACACAAACTCCAGAAGCGGTTTTGACAGCTGTGAAGTTCACTGACTGCCCTGAGCTGGTGCCTTCACAAGGGTGATGTGTTAGTCGCTCAGTTGTGTCCGATTCTTGTGACTTCATGGACTGTAGCCTGTCCGTGGAATTCTCTAGGCAAGAATACTGGAGTGGATTGCCATTTCCTGAGCCAGGGATCAAACCCAGGTGTCCTGCATTGCAGGCAGATTCTTTACTGCCAAGCCACCAGGGAAGACCAAGGCTGGTAGGTAACGGCTATACAGATGACTGAACAACATGCGGCTTTAGGGCACTGACCCCCCATGTAGTAAAAATCTGCACACGGCTATCCTTTTGGCTTTACCCATGATTCAAACATGGGCCATGTTGCACTGAGTACATATTTAGTGAAAAATTGTTTATAAATGCAGTTCACACCCATGTTCAAGGGTTAACTGTTTTGAAGGTGACAGCCTGGGGGCGGTTGGCGGTCTTCAGCTGGGTTCTCTGAATCAAGGAGAAGCCTCCTCACAGGAGAGATGAAGGTGAATCTTGAAACCAGCCTCTTGAGTCATCACACCCGTCCCTTCACTAGGATTGACACACCTCTAGTGTGTCTGGGGAATGGAGAAGCTTGGTGAACCCCTCGTGGTTTAAACCAACACTTACCAAATGCATTTGCTCTGAATTCTGTCCAGCACCAGGCACTAAGGCAGCAAAGCACAGTGAGAAGTGATTTTGGAAAATCCAAAGTTGGGGTTGGGATTCCTCTGCCCAGCCTAAGGCAGAGTCCTCCATCCTCAGCTGCTGGGAGAGCCTGGAACCGTGGGGCAGCCTGGGCTGAGGGGTCGCTCCATGCCACCCTGGCTGCCTCCTGGCTAGGGCCCGGGCCTCTTCCGGCCAGCCTGCTCTCAGTGGGGTGGGGTCAAGCTGGAGGGGCTGGCTGTGTGCTGGAGGCCGAGTGAGCTGCCTGCTAATGGGGCTGGGCCACCCTGCGCTGCTCCCTGAAGGCTGGACAAGGCTAGGATTGTTTCCCTGCTCCCCTTTGTCTCCCACACCCGCCCAGGCCTGGCCTGCCTGCCTGCCACTCCTCTCCCTCCCGTTGGCCCTGCTGGCGAGAGCCAGGGACTCCGCCCGTGGAGTCCGGGGCCTGCCGACCCTCTGGCTTAGGAGCGCCCGTCAAGCTCTGGGTAAGGAAACTCACCTGGGGCCAAGACTCCCAATCTGGGGGACTAGAGGCAACGCACCTGCTCCAGCTGCACCCACCCCCCCCCCCGCCCATTTCCTTGGCTACAGCTGACTACTCCAGAGACCTGACCCTAGTGCTGAGGGGAGGACCCCGAGGGGAGCTAGATCCCAGCATTGTCCTGGTCCACCCCTCCCCGAAGTAGCTGGGCTGCACTCAGGGTAGGTCAGGACACCCCATCCCCCTCTTGGGAGGGGTCAGTCATCTATCTTGGGTAGTTTTTTGGATGCATTCCGAGGCTTCTGGGGTCTTAGTTCCCGGACCAAGGATGGAACGCAGGCCCTCGGCGGTGAAAACACGGAGTCCTAATCACCGGCATGCTAGGTCACTTCAGTTGTGTCCAACTCTTTGTGGCCCCAGGGGCTGTAGCCCACCAGGGACGTCTAATCACTGGATGGCCCCGTAATTCCCAGGGTCATCTACCTTAAAACTCAGCCGGGGAGCAGACTAGGGGCCAGATCTGCCTTGTGTCCAGCAGGGTCCCCGGCACCCAGCTCAAGGGCAGAGGCTCAGGGTTTGGGCTGGCTGTGTAAGGCCCGGAGTGTGTGAGGCGCAAACAGCAGGCAAAGCAGCAGAGGCAGGAAGAGGGGTGGGTCTGGGCTGGAAAGTTTTGGCCTGGAGAGGTGGGCGGGGTGTCCTGTTTTCCCTCCTCCCGGAGCAGTTCCACCCACCCTGGTGGCCCAGCCCCTCCACTTGTGCCAAGGAATGTGCCTGGGAGAGGCGGCCGGGAGGCAGGCGGGGCAGCAGAGCCGCGGCCACCCGGAGGCAGCACACAGGTCTGAGGCTGAAGGGCACGGGGCTCAGGAGGGACAGGGACCCGGAACACCCCCGGGGGTGCAAGTGTAGTCGTCGAAGAGCTAGGCTTCCCCTTAATGCCTTGTCCCACCAGTGGGCATCTGGCCTCTCCCAGAATTCTCCCTAAGCTCCCTGAGTTTTCTGTGCTCAGCCCAGGCACTGGGGGCTAAGGGGCTTTCTGGCGGCGGCAGCGGTGGTGGTGGTGTGCCTGGGCTGTCTCTGTGCTGTCCTCTGTAGTCAGGGTTCTTCTGAGACAGAAATCTGGGGTTAGGCGCTTGGATCCAGGGTTCCTGAGGCAGCCTTCTGGCTGAGGAGGCCACTCCACTCCTTGATGGATCAGTCCCTCTCCATGGGGGAACTGAATGCCCCCAGGTTAGGCTGAGGAGGGGCTGGAGTTATGACCACCGGGGAAGCTGGGAGAGCCTCCCCAGGCCTGAAGGAAGCAGCTTGGTGGCCAGCTACCACTGCATGCATGCCTGTACACAGCCCACCCTGGGACTCAGGGATGGGGTCCAGCCTGGGCCTGGGTGAAAAGGGACCCATGGATGGGCGCAGACACCTAATTCCCCTCTGCCCTTTGTCTCCAGGTCAACGTGGAGGTGCCAGGCCACCATGCTCAGTCTCAAGCTGCCCCAGCTCCTTCGAGTCCACCAGGTCCCCAGGGTGAGGGATTCACCAACTCCTACTTCCCAGGGCACTGACTGGGTGGAGGTGCTTCTCTTTGTGCAAGTGCAGAAATCTTTGCAACAAGCTACCTCTTATCACTGTCATTTTGGTGTGGGACTCCTGTTCTCTAAGGAACAGGGTTTGTGACCTGCTTCCTGGAGCCCAGAACGCTGCTTTATCCGGAGTCCCCAGCCTCAGAGGGCCACGTGTCCACCGACTCCCAGCCCCATCTCGTCCCCTTCCTCTGCCTCTTGTTTCTCACCTGCTCTCTGGGCACTGGAACCTGTGGTGAGATGGGGTTGGATTTAGTTTGGCTTTGGCGCCATGGTGATCTCCAGACCATTCCCTTCAACCCTGCTTCCAGAGATCTCTCTTGGAGAGAAAGGGTGGAGCACAGTGATTCCCCTCTTCTCCCCACCCCCACCCACTACCCTAGGTGTTCTGGGAAGATGGTATCATGTCTGGCTACCGCCGCCCCACCAGCTCGGCCTTGGACTGTGTCCTCAGCTCTTTCCAGATGACCAACGAGACCGTCAACATCTGGACTCACTTCCTGCCCACCTGGTGAGGGAGGCTCTGTCCCAGGCTTGGGCCTCGAGCTCAAGGGGGTGCTCAGGCGGGCCAGGACCGCCCGGGCCCACGGGCCGCAGTGGGAGTCGCCGGGGCTCCGGTGGCCTGAGCACGTGCCCGCCGCAGGTACTTCCTGTGGCGCCTCGTGGCGCTGGCGGGAGGCCTGGGCTTCCGGTCGGAGCCCTACCACTGGCCGCTGCTCGTCTTCCTGCTGCCCGCCTGCCTCTACCCGTTTGCGTCGTGCTGCGCGCACACCTTCAGCTCCATGTCGCCCCGCGTGCGTCACATCTGCTACTTCCTGGACTACGGCGCGCTCAGCCTCTACAGCCTGGGTGAGGCCCCGGCGGCGGCGGCCGTGGCGGGCAGGGGGAGGGGCGTTGCGGGCAGGGCCGGGGTGAGCACGGGGGTCCTGGGGCGGGGCCTCAGTTCCCGCCCCGCCCCGCCCCCAGGCTGCGCCTTCCCCTATGCCGCCTACTCCATGCCGGCCTCCTGGCTGCACAGCCGCCTGCACCAGCTCTTTGTGCCCGCCGCCGCACTCAATTCTTTCCTGTGCACCGGCCTCTCCTGCTACTCCCGGTGGGTTCTTGGCCAGTGGTGAAGGGGAAGGCGGAGGGGCAGAACAGGGCGCCCACAAACACTTGGACACCCAGGACGGCTGGGTGTGCCTGCGCCCCACTGCTCCCGAACAAAACTAGTGGCTGTGGGGCCGTTTATTGAGGACCTCATGTGCCCAGAGCCTGTGCCCAGCACCACCCCGGCTCGCTCTCTCCCGCAGCGACCTAAGCGGCACGTGTCTATCCCCGTTACAGCTGTAACTTACAGAGGAGTTATGTGGCCTAAGGGCTTTCGAAGCCACTAGGCTACACTGACATTCCATGGTGGCCAAAGGTCCCCTGCCCTCCTCTCCCCACCATCCCAGCATAGTGATGGTGACCAGCCTTTCCCTCTTGCCTCCCAGGTTCCCAGAGCTAGAAAGCCCTGGGCTCAGTAAGATCCTCCGCTCGGCCGCCTTCGTCTACCCCTTTCTGTTCGACAACCTCCCGCTTTTCTATCGGGTAAGGCTCCTGCTTTCCTGTCCTGACCCTCACAGTGCCCAGTCCCGCCCCCTCGAGCCCTGACCCCAGCCCTGCCACCCACCCCCCCCCCAGCCCAGCATCCAGTCCCGCTGTGCACCCGCCAGTCCTCACCAGATCCCAGACACATGATGTCCGGCCCCAAAGCCCCTCCCCACCAGCCCTGCTTTTCCTTTGCCAGCTGGGACTGTGCTGGGGCAGGGGCCACAGCTGTGGGCAGGAGGCGCTGAGCACCAGCCATGGCTACCACCTCTTCTGTGCGCTGCTCACTGGCTTCCTCTTTGCCTCTCATCTGCCTGAGCGGCTGGCACCAGGACGCTTTGATTACATCGGTGAGCGCAGACCTGGCCTGGCCCGGGAGGGGTCAGGGAGACAGCTCCCCAGAGCCCTGAGTGAACTGAGCAGTGTTCCTGGAAGGGCCCTCAGGTTAACAGCAAAACCAGCAGCACATATGCCAGGGGCTGTGAACAGCAGCCCACTCATAGTTGCTGGTAACTCCGGGAACCTTAAGAAACCCTGTGTTTCTTACTCCCATTTTTAGGGGAGTAGCAGGCCCAGATGATGGGATGCTCGCCATGGATCATAGGATGCGTGGGGGAGCCCTGGGGATGGGGTATGTGTCCTCACCTGTCCACCCTTCCCACAGGCCACAGCCACCAGCTATTCCACATCTGTGCAGTGCTGGGCACGCACTTCCAGCTGGAGGCAGTGCTGACTGATATGGGATCTCGCCGAGCCTGGCTGGCCACACAGGAACCGCCCCTAGGCCTGGCAGGCACGGTGGCCACTCTGGGCTTGGCAGTGGCCGGGAACTTGCTCATCATTGCCGCTTTCACAGCTTCTCTATTTCGGGCCCCCAGTACATGCCCCCTGCTGCAAGGTGGCTCACTGGAGTGGGGTACAAAGGCCAAACTGCAGTGAGGCCCCAGCTCTGAGTCTGCCCTGGAAAGAGGCAGAGGCCAGGCAGGCCCTCATGTAGGGGAGGAGCCCAGACCCAGGCCTGATAAGGTGGGGGCACATCTGAGCCTGGAAGCAAGAGTGGCTGAGGACAGAGCACCGTGGAGGTGAGAAGGGAGCTGAGAAGACAGAGGCGAGGAGGCGGCCTGGGAGGCTGCGAACGAGCAGGAGGCTCAAGGAGCGGGCTCTTGATGGGGTTGGGAAGTGCTGAGGGTCTGAGAGGGGAGGTGCATGTGTCCAGGCTGGAGCTGCCCCACCTGCCATCGAAGGCTGGGGTGGGGAGGTGCTGGGTCCTTTTATCTGGTCCTATTTCTGGTGCTCCTGGAATTTCTTCGCAGCCCAGGGGAGAACTAACATGACTAACCCAGGCCCACCCTGAATGCTTGTTAACCCGGCTGGGAGGCCCACTCGTGCCCCTACCCCCAAACCAGGCAGCACTGGCTGCCGGCAGTTCTTGGCCTGTGGCAGTGAGGGCATCTGTCCTGGTCACAACCGTGGACTCCGTATCCAGGCCTCTGAGATCTGGTCTGTTTGGGTGTGTCACGGATGGGGCAGTGGGTTGAGGGGGCGGGGGGGAGCTGGGCTAGAGAGGAGAACCCTAGCTAGACTTTAGGAAGCTACCTTCAATGCTTCTGAAATGAGGCTGGGATAAATAAAGAAATCAACAACATATTTTGGGAAACACTTTGTGGAACTGAAAAAGGGAAAACCTCTGGCTTCACTCCCCATCGTCCCAGCGCCGCCTCCTCACGCTCCACAGATGGACAAAGAACCAGAGCCCCAATTCCTCTTCTGGAGTTTATTCTAGAGCAGCGGGGATGATGGGGAGGGGAGGGGTCCTGGAGAGAAGCCAGAGCTGGGGGCTGCCAGCCAGGTCAGCAGGGCTGCGAGCTCTAGACCGGGCCGTAGAAGCGCCGGTAGGCCTCCTGGAAGCCGATGTGGTCAGCTAGCTCGTCACAGTCAGGGTTGAGCTCACACACCTCCCTCTTGGGCTCCAGCGGATCTGGGTAGGGGGCTGGGGCTCTGAGAGCCCACCACACTGGCATCAGCCTCCATGCCAAATGCCCGCCCCTCCCCCCACTGCACTTGGGGCTCCAGGATCCCCCCACAGCGGCTGCGCCTCCCAGCCCATCCTGCAGATGCAGGGCCTTGGCCCAGCACCTCCCCTCCTCTCACCCCAGCCCAGGATCCAGGTAGCGCCTGAGTCTCTTCACCACCTCGCTGCCCTCCTGCTTGGACACGAAGGCTGCGGAGCACAGGGGCAGGGGTCAGGGGGCTCCCAGTTTGGGTGGATAAGGTGAGGAGCAGGCTGGCCTTCCTGAGAGCCAGATGGGAGGGAGCAGGAGAGAGTGGGACTCGGGACGGGCTAAGAGCGGGTGCTGGGAGTGGGCAGCAGCCTTGGGGATACGGGGCATAGCCCACGTCCGGCCCACTTCATACCTGCGCCTTTGCTGGACTCTGCATCACCGGGCTTTGCATCTGTAAGGAAAAGGAGCCCAGTTCACCCCTGCTCATCCCTAGGGCCCTCCCCACCCACCCCCGCCTCTGGCAGCTTGCTCTTCCCTCCTCTTCCTCCTCAAGAAGAGAAGTGGGGGCAAATGGACTGAGACTACAGAAAGCTAGTGAGACTATCAGGGCCAGCCAGCGGAAGGGGTGAGGAGAGGTGCGGCTGTGGCGCCCTCTCCCGGCGCCCATGGGCCGGGGCACTCACCTGCCCGACCAGCGAGGCAGAGCGTGGCCAGGGCCAGCAGGGCGAGGAGCACCAGGGCTCTCATGGTGTGTCTGGCAGCGGCTGCGTGGACTCGGCCAGTCTGCTGCTCCCGGCCTCCAGCACTGTTTTATACTCTCTGGGCTGCGCCCCAGAGGCAGGGGTGCGGGCGGGTCACGGGGGAGCCTGCCAGGGCTGTTTGGGGCTCATCCGCCTCAGCTCTGTCGGCCAAACCCCAGAGGAGGTTGTGGTTGGAGCTGTGGCTCCCTGGGCAGGCCCCGAGAGTGATGGAGGAGGGTTCGCCTCAATCCGAGACTGCCAGGCTCCAGAGAGGGTCCCCAGCTCCTCCCCACGGGGTCGCCCCAGGTCCCCCAGCCCTACTCTCCCTCTGAGCCCCAGCCTCAGTTTGAGCCATCAGTGGGGCAGGCTGGGAGGGGAGGGTGGGGAGCCTAGAGAGGAAGGGGGGCTGGGGGTCTAAAATAGAATCGCGCGGAGTTGGGCTGCAGCCTCTCAGACTGTGATTTCCACCGTTGGCCCCATGGGCAGGAGCCAAACCCCAGGGAGGGCGGGCCTGCCGAGAGATGCCCTCATTCACCCCGAGGAGCCCTGTCCCAGAGAGGCCTTACAGCGGGGGCAGCTCGGCTCTGTGCGGGCCCTGGGCATCAGGACAGGGGAAGGGGTTGGGGCAGCATGGGGCCAAGAGCCAAAAGCCAACACCGGTGGGGCCGGGCCTGATGTTAAGGACAGCCCTTCTGTCTGCCACCGGCCAGGTGGGCCCCAAGCTGAAGACCTCCTTCCCCGTGCCTCTCACAGGTGGGGACGCAGGGTCTGCGAGGGGCAGGAAGATGGAGAGCACCCCTGGGCTCCTGACCACCCCATCCTCTTCCTGCCCTCACAGCCTCCCCAGTGCCAACCCTGGGGACCTGTCCTCCAAGGGACAGACCATCCAGCCGGAAAACCCGAGAGCTGCTTCTGCCTCAGCTCAGGCTGGAGGAGAGGGGTGTGCTCACCCACCCCCCACTCACCAAGTGGGACCTAGCAGACACAGCACTGCTGACCCACCCCCAGCTGTGGCTGGGTGTTTGGATACCTCCAGGAGAGAGGAGCCACTGGGCTCAATTTAGGGGGTGGCGTCTGTGAAGAGGGACCACCCTGACATCTCCCAAGTGTCCCTGGTACTCCTGGACAGACCAACCAGGCCTCTGTCCACAGAGAGGGTGAAGCTCTCGCCCATACCCCCCTTCACCCTCCGGTCTGGAGGAGGCACCCACCCCACCTTTGGCCAAGTCTCTCCTGATGCCCTGTGGCCCTGCCTGGGGAAGAGGGGGCGTGAGGAGCCAGAGGACAAACTCCCAGCCCTCTGGAGGGCCCACTGATGCAACCACCGAGGCCCAGCACAAAGCCTCTCTCAGAATCAACCCGAGGGGAAGACAGTGGTGGGCTGGCTTGGACGGTGACACCCCGCAGAGGCTTGTCCTGGCCTCAGGGAACCCAAGGGTCCCAGTTTCTGTGACAAGGGGCTTCCCAGCCCTTCTGTACATGATGGTCAAATACGGCCTCCACCCACCCTCCCCAAGACCTCTTGCAGCCCTGCAACCAAGACTTCGATCGGAGCCAGGACTCCAGTCCAGGATGGAATCTTGGCCTTGGCGAGTCTTGGGACAGGCCCAGCAGAAGAAGCACCCTCACAGATTACAGTGTAGTGGAGGAGGTTTATTTGCGGATGTGGGGAGAACATGGCAAGGGCCCCTGGGGCTGGCCAGCAAGGGGGCAATCAGTAGACTGGAAACAGATTCCCCGAGCCAGGTCCAAGGGCGGGCTCAGGAGCTGGCGGTGTGTGTCATGGGGGTAGGGTGGCGAATTGGCCCAAACCTATACGAGAGGAAGCATGGGGCCTGACTCCCACGGCGGGAGCTGGCCAAGAGTCCTCAGGTTCGGAGAAAACAGGGAGGAATCCGAATGTCGTGTGTGTTTCTGACCCCAAGGAGCCCCAAAGTACAACAGCAATAGAGAGGCCTCCTTCTCCAGCAAACTCCATCACTGCTGAGGGACTGTTCTCACTCGCAGCTCACTCAGGTCCAGACCACAGGCCCTTGACCTTGACTGCCCTCTGCTGCTCACTCAGGCTCCTTTAGCACGGCCAGCAGCTCCTTCTGTTCTCTGTGTAGAGCCTGACATCAATGAGAGAGAAGACACAGACTGGGAGATGAGGAAACCCAAACCCCTTTCCTCCACTGTCCTTGACTCCAGGCCTGAGTTTCCGCCAGGACAATATGGAAGGTGTCTGTAACTCATGTCATGGGCCCAGCAGGGCATATTAGGAAATCCACCCCACTCAGCAGGTGTTTATGGCAGGTTGGGTGGCAGGCTTGGGGCTCCACCTAGGTTGGACCTCCACAGAGAAGAGCTGACCTTCAAAAAGGTCCCTAAAGTGTCCCCCTGATCATCTGACCTCAGTGGAGATTGCTAGCAGAGAAGCTTTCTTAAATGGACTTTCAGCTGGGTTAATGGTTTAGTTGCTAAGCTGTATCCAACTCTTTTCAACCCCATGGACTGTAGCCTGCCAGGCTTTTCTGTTCATAGGGATCTCCAGGCAAGACTACAGAAGTGGGTTGCTATTTCCTTCTCCAGGGGCTCTTCCCAACCCAGGGATCAAACGCACATCTCCTGCTCTGCAGGCAAAGTCTCTACCACTGAGCCACCGGGGAAGCCCTCCAGCTGGACTAGACATGCAAACTGTAAAGGGGCTCTTTGGGCTCACCCAGGACTCGGCGCTGGGCACGCCTGACCCACTTCAGACAGCGGTTAGGATCTGTAACTCTGATGGGAGAGGTGCGGCTCTATGACAGGGGCGTCCTTCTTCCTCTTGCAATAGAAGCATCAAATGTCACAGCTGGCAGGGCTCTGGGGATCACTGTTTGGCCAATTTGGAAGCCAGAGCCCAGTCAGAGAAGTGATCTTTGGCCTCACAGTGATGGGGTGGCAATGTCAGAGCAGCCTGAGGACCCAGCAAGGCAGCCCTAAGAGCACCAGAGACACAACTCTGAGCCATGGAACCCGCCCCAGGAGACAGGACCAGGCTGAGGGCCTCGGCTACCCGTCCTGGGCCCTGCCATGCAGCCCTGGGCCACTAGACAACACGACACTGCACGACAGGACACCCCCAGGGCCTGGGTGTTACAGCAGGAGGCTGAGCAGTGAAGACAAGAGGAGGCAGAGCAGGACACAGCCTTTCTCCCGCCGCCGCCTCTCTGAGGCTCAGTGCCTTGAGGAGGCTGGGGCACAGCCTTTAGGTTACCCTGACTGGTCTTGGGAGGAGAAGACCAGGGAACCCAAGAGCCACATCTGGGGACCTATCCCGCTCAGGATCAGGAGGGTTTGCCCCAGGAAGGGAGCTGTCAAGTGGCCACAACAGACATCAGCTGGATGTCTGAATGGTGGGCAGAAGCCAACAGCGGGCCACGGTCCAAGCCCCACTAGAAACCCTCTTTTGGAACCATGTTTTGAGCCAGCCAGGAAACCCACCTCATCGCTCTGCAGCGACACTTGCTGTCTGTGTCAGCCAGTCTGACCACCCCTCCCTTTGTTTACCAACCTGGCCCCAAGCGACTCTGGGCCACTTTCAGAAATAGAGCTCACCCTCAACGACACACTTAGTTACAGGGAGGCTATGTTGCAGGTACGCTGACACTCTAGAAGTCATTCTAAGGTACAGATTCTAAAGGTGCTGGGCAGCGGTCACGCGGAGTCGAACCGCCATGGCTGTGGAGGGCTGACCCTGGCCACGACGGGGAGGAGCCGTCCTTGGACAGCCGCTTGCCCCCTCTGGGCCCGTTTCCTCCCCAGCCGCCACGGGCAGGGCGGGCCTGAGGGCCGGGTGGGGGCTCTCACCTGCCAGGCCTGCTGCCGGGTCTGGGCCTGCAGCTGCAGCTCCTCCAGCTGCCTGCGCCCGGCCAGGACGGCGTCCGCCAGCTGCCTGTTCTCGGCCTCCTGCTTCTGCACACGGCGCTGCAGGGCGTCCCGCTGCTGCGACAAGTAGGGCGCCACGGCGCTGCGCAGGTCCTTCTCCGGGACCCCGCTGGGGCGCCTGCAGGGGGCGCAGGGGTGGGGACAGGGAGGAGGTGGTGGGGTGAGGCCCCTTCTCCAAGCCCAGGTGGCACGCCCACCTTCAGCCTCGAGCTGAGCTGGCGCCCGAGGCCTCTCCTCTGGTCCCTCTCGCTCCCAAACCCAATCGCATGGCTCCTGCTCCTGAAGGGAACGCTGACCCCTGTCCCTCAGGTCCCGCTCCCAGGAAACCACCTCTCCCCTTGTCACTAGTCCGCACCCTAGCCTTCCTCCTTTCATTCAGCTCTACCCTTCCAGGGCTGGAGGCGACTTTCCTCTGTGCTTGTGACCATGTGCCTTGCTGGGGCATCCCCACTATCAGACTGTGAGCTGGAGAGATGGGGACAGGCGGGTGGCCCAAGAGCAGGCCCAGACCCTAAAAGGCCATGGCTGGCTAATGTGGGAAGATAAGACAGATCTGAGAAGGCAAGATTACAGGGGGTGCTGGGTGCCCAGAGTGAGGAAATGGGTCAGTTCTGACGGGCAGGGGCATAGAAGCCACTGTAGGTTCTTTAAAAATCCTTTGTCAGTTATAAAAGGTAATTCTCAAAAAAAAAAAAAAAGTTATTCTCTTCAGTGATAAAGATCATAAAGCATTAAACTGAAAAGCACAAAAAAAGGTTTTTACTCCTCCTGACCTAGGATTCTACTCAGGCAGGGAATGGAGGCAGGAGCTCAGGCCACTTGTGGTTTCGATGGCCTCAGTCCTGCACTCCCGTCCCCAGGGCCCCCTCCCTCCTGCCCAGGACAGCCAGGCATCGGGTCTGCCCCCTGGAATGACAGCTCCAGGACAGCAGGTCTTTCGTGTCTTAGTCACTGCCGAATCTCTGGCATGAAGAACAGTTCTGGGCGTATAGTAAGTGCTCCTAAAATATTTGTTGGATGAACAAATGAATAAAAACCAGATGCTTGGGCCAGACTAATCGACCTAAGAGTTCAACGTCTCTATTCTGCCTCATCCCACTCCCTCTACCCTCTCCCACAGGCCACTTGGTCCTGAAACGAGCTCCCTAGGAAGATATCTCTCATCCCAGTCACCTCAACCCCCAGGATGGCACGCGTTTGCCCCAGCTCTCCTTCCCCGGAGGGGCTGTGCGTCTATGTCTCTGTTCCGGGTCACTGTTTGCTGGTGGTCCTCTCCACCTGTGCCTGTCACAGGGTCCTCTCAAGGGCCGAGAGCCCACAGTCTTGTGCACATGGTTCCACCAGAAAACCTCCTTCAAAATGCTGAAATGCTGGCCCTTCCCGGGTGGGCCCATGGAGGCCCGGGTTCCATCCCAGGTTGCAAAAGTAGATCCCACATGCCATGCAATTAAGATCCAGCACAGACAAATAAATTTTTTCTTTTTTAAAAAAAGATGCTGAAATGCTGCCTCTTTCCCTATGAGCCTGCCTGTGGCCAGGGGGGCAGGCAACGCCCTTCTCACCAGGCTGGCTCCTTGCGGTCTTTGCTTTCTTCCACAATCGCGTCCAGTGCAATCAGGACAGCTTCCAGGTTTCCCTCAGCTTTGATTTCAGAGATTTCCTCCTGGAGGGAAAACAGGAAGGAGCTATAATGATACTAGACAATTCCATATGCTGAACTACTAACGGCACTTAGTAAAATCCTGGCTGACTTAAATTCTGTCTTCACAGAAACATTCCAACTTTCCTGCATGTGACTTTTATAAGAAAGAAAGTACAACACAGAAAACATTTTAAAAGAGTCTGCCTGGGCTCCCCTGGTGGTCCAGTGGTTAAGAATCCGCCTGGCAATGCAGGGGACGCCAGGTCAATCCCTGGTCCAGGAAGACCCTACATGCCACAGGGCCACTAAGCCTGTGAGCTACAACTATCGAGACATTCTCTGGAGCCCATGAGCTGCAACTACGAAGCCTGTGTGCCACAAAGCCCGCGCTCTGCCACAAGGGAAGCCACTGCAGCGAGAAGCCCGAGCATCGCAACTAGAGAGTAGCTCCCCCTCTCCACAACTAGAGAAAGCCCACACTCAGCAAAAAAGACCCAGCACAGTTAAAAAAAAAATTTTTTTAAAGAGCCCGCAGCAATACTCCCCTTCTGCCCATCATCTCTAAAGGCTGCAGCCCCTGCAGTTATCCTCACGCCCCAGCGCCCCTGGCTGACAGCACACATACATTCTGATGCTTAACGAGGCCCACCCTGGAGTGGGACAGCATGGAGCTGAGACTCCCCAGAGAGTTTAATGAGATCCTGTCCCTTCCTGTACCCCCTCCAGCATGCAGTTCCCGTGAATTCAACCATTTGCTAAATGCCTCCTCTGCCAGGCTTTGCAGCAGGTGCCGGAGAAACACAGAGAAGCAGAACTAGGCCTGCCCTCGCTGAGCTCCCAAGGTCAGGCGGGACAGCAACTATAAACACCATTACATCGCAGGACAAGGAGAGAAGGGGCATTCGAGACACCCAGGTCATGTGCAGGGAAGGGAAGGTGGCCACTGCAGCCCGCGGGGCAGAGGACAGTCCTGGGGGCTGAGGGCAGATGGAGGGCAGGGCCCCTGCCTTCAGAGGGCTGAAGACCTGAGACAGGACCCGAATCAAAGAGTGCTCCGGGGATTCCTGCCACTCACCTGGATAGAAGTCTGCAACTGAGTTACAAACTTGTCATAGATGCGCTGTGTCATCTCAGGCTGCAACTCGTAGAAGCGCTTGTAAGAGTCAGTGAACCTCTCGAAGCTGGTGGGAGAAGGCGCAGGCTGGGGATTCAGTCATCAGCCCTGCCCCTCATCACAGGGCCCGAGGCCCTGTCTCCATGACTGGCTGACGGCAGTCGGGGCAGAGTCTCAGCTGCAGCCCCGTCGCTGAGGATGGCTCAGCCGCTCGTCTCCCCACCCCCTCAGCAGAGCCCCAGCTGAGTTGAGGTGTCTCCCTCTGAAGGGTGGGTCACACTCAGGCCAGCCACGGTACTTAAACTTGCCCTTACCAAGCACCAGATCACCAGGAGGGCTGATGAAGACTCAGACCGCTGCCCCCGCCCCCATTCTAAACAAGCTCCCAGGTGACGCTGATGCTGCTGGTCTGCGCCCCTCACTTTGAGAACCTCTGGTCCTTCCAGTGCCCTTGCAGGGCTGCATTAGGACAAGGTATGTGGCCTCTGGGAGAGGTCTCCTTACTCCTAAAAAGAGCCACACAGGAAGAACTGATGCCCGTCCCGTGGGACTCAACTATACCCAGGTGATGCTCCAGCCCCCACAACCATGGGGGCCTGGCCTGGGAGCAGAGTTTCTGCCCTAAAGAGGTGGAGCAGGGAGATGGAAAGAACCGGGGCTCGGAGAACATCATCAGGCTGCTGGAAACATCACCCTGGAGCCATCCCACCTCGGGGCTTCTCATTAGTGAGGTAATGGATTTCTCTCAGTGTTTGTGCCATTTAAAGTCAGGGCTCTGTCACTGGCAGCTGACACACTCCTTGTAGCTGCAAAGGTCAAAGGGTACCCAGTATACTCCCGATGGCTGGCTCCTCTTGGACAAAGGAACTGAAATAACTTAATGAACTCTCATGGCTGTTTCCTCTCCCTCCTCCACCTGTCTCTCTGCCTGCTCTCTCAGGCCCTTCCCCTCCACAAGTGTTCACTGAGCCCTGCTATGTGCTGGGTGCTCCGGGTCAGTGAGGCTGGCATGGCCCTCCTGGTGCTTCCAGTGGAGGAAGAGATGGCAGGAAATACAGAAACTCACATGTGAACGTAGGGATGATTACTAGTGGAGAGTGCTTGGAGGGAAAAGGGCCGGGAGATCGGGGCTCAGAGAGTGCACCATGGGGATCACCTTTAAGTGTGGGGGTGGTCAGTGAAGGCCTCGCTGATGAAGGAATGTCAAGGGACCTGGCAAAGTGTCTGAGGAGGTGTCCCGAAACACACCCTGAGGCTTCACTATGGGCTCAGATATTCCTCAGCCATCTGGGCCAGCTAGGGGCTTCAGACAAACAGGAGGTTAGGTACCTGGAACCCAATGCACAGGCCCCGCTGCAGCCAGGGAGTCACTGCTGGGCCCTCCCTTTCTCACGGCTCTCTGGCCTCCTGGCCCAACTCCTACCACCAAAACAATGTCCTCTGAAACAGACGCAGAGAGTGGCGCAGTGGTGTACTGGAGCCAGCTCACAGTGGTTTGCAAGAGATAACTGTTAAATTTCCAGGAAATCTGTGAGGTAGTTGTTAAACACAGTAATTATTGAAAATTAAATTATATATTAAAAAAAAGAAAATTAAATTATATAGGATTATAATGAATTATACTAAAAACAAAGGTACTGGGACTTTCCTGGCCGTCCAGTGGCTAAAACTCTGTGCTCCCAGTTCAGGGGGTCCGGGTTTGGTCCCTGGTGAGGGAACTAGACCCTGCATGCTGCAACTAAGATCCAGCACAGCCAAATACATAAATAAGTATTTTTTAAGAAAACCCACAAAGGTACTAACTGCTCAAAACACATGATGTCCAAGTCATTCTACACGCTTTACTCTGCTCTGGAGGCCGACTCCATCCACGGTCTCCATCTGTGGAAACACTGCTGCCCGTCTGTCCTCTGCTGTATGAAGGGATGCTACGCTCTAGGCTTATTTATACCTGGGAAGCTAGCAGACACCGCAAGTCAGGACTTTATTTCTGGAGAGCTGGCTGTACACATCTACCAGCATACCTGTCTCCCATCCTCTTGAGGGTACATGTTTGGTATCAGTGCACCTCGGGGGCAAAACCAAGCTACCAAATACAAAGATGACAGACATCCTTTCACCCTCAGCAGAGCCCCAGACATCCTGTTGTTTTGCCGCTGGCCCCACGAGCCACGCAGTCTGCGGCTACAAGGAGGAATGTGGAGGGACGCATGATGCCTGACAAAGCGCGGCTGGAATTGAAACTGGGTAATTGTGGCTTGAAATGGGTCTGGCTCAGAAACGGGAGATCCTGTTCCTCCTCCCAGCCCACTCGCCAGGCGCATCTGAGCTGCGTGCATCTGCTCTCAGCCCAGGCTGGTGGCAGACAGGGCCCAGGGCAGGAGCAGGATAATTCTGCTCACCGGTGCTGCTCATCAACTCTTCTGGTGTCCCCTTCCAGGTCTGAGAGTTCAGGGAAAGTGACGGACCCAGAAACACACACACTGATAAAAACACACAACATGGGAAACATATGATCCAAGGACATGAAGGGAGAACAGTCAGGCTGGAAGCGGTGAGGAAAGTGGTTTCTTTTCTTTTAGTTTCACTGAGATATAATTGACATATAGCACCCTATAAGTTTAAAGTGTACAGCATAATGACTTAATATATACTAGTAAATGATTACCACGGTAAGTAAACATACACCATCTCAGAAACAAAAAGGACTTCCCTGGTGGATCAGATGATAAAAGAATCAGCCTGCAATGCAGGAGACCTGGGTTCAATCCCTGGGTTGGGAAGATCCCATGAAGGACGGTATGGCAAGCCACTCCAGTATTCTTGCCTAGAGAATCCTCATGGACAGAGGAGCCTGGTGGGCTACAGTCCATGGGGTCATAAAGAGTCAGACATGACTAGCGACTAAGCACACACACACAGAGACACAAAAAAGAACAAACAATTGGATTTTCCTTGTTATGAGGACTTGTAGAATCTACTTTTTTAACAGCTTTCACATATACCATACAGCAGTGGTAACTGTAGCCATCAAGTTGTGTGGCGTCCCTAGTACTGATTGATCTTATAATTGGAAGCCTGTATCTTCAGACCACCTTCACGCGATTCCTTCTCCCCTCAGCCCCCAGGGATTCCTTTCTTGAGAGCCCGTGCAGATTTGGGAATACTGTGAATGCTCTTGTAAATTTCCTGAAAAAACACACTCACAGAGAAATAGGAAAAATGATGCATTCTAGAAAACATTCACGGCCACTCCCGCCAAGTGTCAACTTGTATCTTCTCACATAAATTCTAGTATCTCTGTGGGTAGGGATGCCATCCACAATGGCGCTGGGATCTCCAGGGCACCCAGAACAGTGTCAGATATGCAGCAGCAGTGTGGATCTTGTAGCTTCTACAAGACAAGCTGCAGACCAGGTGAGTGCGACGGAGTTGAGGACCAGGCTGCCTGGCCTCAGGCGTGGTCCATTCCCAGCCACCTCCCCGACCCTGGACCCTAGGGTACCAAGGCTTGGGCTGCTTGAACAGAGGTGCCCTCTCCACAGAGCATCTTCATCAGCCTCCTCTGCCCTGTGCTGGAATGGTCTTCTGGCCTTGGTCTTCCAAGGGTACGCAAGGGGCCCTCCAGCTGTCTATGCCAGGTAAGGGTACCAGCTCTAAGGACTGCCTGTCCTTTGGCCGGGGTTCACATCCTACCTCTACCACTCATCAGCTGAGTGACCTTGGACAACTTCTTTACCTTTATAAGCATCAGTTTCTATCTCTATCGAACAGAGATAATAACGATCCATAAGTCACAAAATTACTATGAGGATTAAATGAGGTTACATGTGTAAACACCCAGCACAGTGTACAGGGAAACGCTCCATGGTAGCTACAATTATTATTACTATTTTCAAAGCAACAGTCTGCACCACCCCGTGAAAAGTGTAGAACACAGCCAGTAACTTGGTTTCCCAGGGCTGGGCAGTCTGAAGAAGGCAGGTACTTAGTGAAGCATCTTGACTGCAACTGCATGTGCAGGAAGAACCCCCAACACCACTGCAAAGAAAAGGCTACACTGTGGCCCCACAAAAACGGCCACATTTGTCATCAATGAAAGTATTTTTTTATTGGAGTACAACTGCTTTACAATGTTGTTACTTTCCACTGTATAAGTAAATCAGCTACATGTACACATATATCTGCTCCCTCTGAGACGTCCCTCCCACCCCTGACCCACCCCAGGTCCTCACAGACCACCAGGCTGAGCTCCCTGTATTACACTGCAAGTTCCCACTAGCTGCCTGTTTTATATAAGGCAGTGTGTTTATATCAAACCCCATCTCCCAGTTCACCCCGCCCTCTCCTTCCCCCTGACTGTGTCCACAAGTCCATTCTCTATGTCTGTGTCTCTACTCCTGCCTTGGAACTAGGTTTATCTGTACCATGTTTCTGGATTCTACATACACACTGGCTATATATATAAAACACATATATTGTTAATATATGATATTTGTTCTTCTCTTTCTGACTTACTTCAGTCTGTATAACAGATTCTAGGTCCATCGATACCTCTCCAAATGACCCAATTTCATTTCCTTTTATGGCTGAGTATATTCCATTGTATTCATGTACCATATCTTTTTTATTCATTTATCTGTCGATAGACCTTTGGTTGCTTCCATGTCCTGACTGTTGTAAACAGTGCAGAAAGTAACCTTTAAAAACTGCATTTACTGAATTTCAAAACAGAGATGACTACATATTAACTGATTTTAACCTGTTTTTTTCTCTTATGCAATATCTGAGACACCATCACTGTTTTTGAACTCACCGAGAAAGCATGTCATTCACAGCACTAAAAATTCATTGCAGGGACTTCCCTGGTGGTCCAGTGGTTAAAGACCCCACATCTCTCTGATGGGGGCCTGGGTTCGATCCCTGGTCAGGGAACTAGATCCTGCATGCTGCAACTGAGACTCAGTGCTTCCAAATATAAAACCAAACAACCTCACTGTAAACTGAGTTTTCACATATGTTTGACTTAAAATATTTAAGGCCAGAATCAAGCTCTGGTGCCTAGTC